CATTCGGCAGCTTTCAAATGACAAAGTTTGGCCTCGTCGAGCTACGCAGAGCAAAATTACAGGGACAGTATTGTACAGTTTTATACAAACAAAGTAAAGGGCAACACAAAATCCCTGAGAAATAAATTCTACAGAAAGGAATTATCAAAACGAGTGGGGGGGAAAAAAGAAGAAAGACCAAAGCATTGATTTACTTTGCTTCTGTTTGGTCACAACTAACCACAACTAACGTAGTTAAGCAGAATGACATTAGACAAAGCTGCCTGTGCTCTGACTCTGGTGTGTGTTGTCTTTGCCGTCATGCTGTAATGTTTGGCTGCAGTTGTGAAGAATAACTTGCTTTATGAACCCCCTGTGTCCACGCCATTACCCAGACACCAGAGCTCGCAGAGGCTCACATGAGAACATGCTGTACTCACACACATACTGCACATATTTTTCTCACACACACACAGAGACACTGGAGGGGTTTCCTCTCCGATCCCCTCCGTGTTATTTAGTGACGGGCTGAATCCTGTGAACCATCCATCCTGTCACATTTACTGGTGCTGAGCCACCGGCGACGACCCTGACTCCCGAGCAACGTTCGAGAAAGAATAACCACACTTAACATATCAATGCATGTTTGTACTCTTTGTGCCACAGCTTTGGCTGTTTTGGGCTGATTGAATTACACAAACGCATTCTTGCTCTTCAGGCCACATCATTCCTGAGATCTGGGTGGTTAAATAGATCAAGGTTATCGGATTACAAATAATTTGAAGGTGTGATCTCAAGATTTCTGATTTCAGCAGGTAAAATGGTTACACATTCTGCCTGTAAAACATACATCACTGTTTGATATCGACAAAATTTGTGACGTGTCATCAAGCAACAGTTTGACGGGATTACAACCCGTCTGATCATCTGACAGCTAATGTCTTGCACCGTCTTGCAAATACCAACATTTGTCTAATTTTAATTGTAATAGATAATTATTAATTAGCTTGTGAAGGTGAAAATGTTACTCCCCACCCTCATGAGCGAGGTGGGAGAACAATGAGATGGCAAACGGTGACTCATCATGTGTCATCATAGCACCAGAGTTAGTGTGTGACTGTTTTATTAAACTGGATCCATTTGACCAATGTGGTGGCTTGACTCATAAACCATTCAGCCTCTCGGCTTACTTAATGAAACGAGCATTCCTAGAATTATTTCACCATGTTCTGATGTGTGTATGTGTGTGTGTGTGTGTGTGTGTAGGTGTTTAATAAAGACGACCAGCACAGAACAGAGGAACATTACTGTCGTCAGGGACAGTCCCCCCTGTTGTTGTACCTCTTTGTCACACACATACATGTGTTATCCCCCGTCTTCCGGTTCCCATTATTACCAACTGAACAGCTCTGCGACGTCCCAAATCACTCCTGTGATGTGCGTGTGCCTGAATTGTAGTGAAAGCAGTCAGTTCTGATTTCGTTTGCTTGTTTTTGTCAGGTTGACATCAAAGTAATGATTCGTAATGAGTCGTGAAAAAGAGAGTGGATCTGCATTCGTCAATTTGATTAACGCATAATAATTTTTATTAGACATGCATGCAGGAGACAGCTGTGTTCTTGTGTGGAGGGCTGTGTGTCTGTGTGTCTGTGTATCTGTGTGTGTGTGTGTGTGTGTGTGTGTGTGTGTGCAGCACGCTGTCAGAAAATGCTGATGAACTGGTTGTAGCTACCAGGGAAATCCTGATGTTACTACACATACTGTACGCTGCATAAATACTTCAGTTTGGAGTATTTCTCAGATAGCACCACTGCAGTTCCAAATACACGCAGAGCTGTTGCTGTCTAGCAATGCAACTGCGCTCCATGCTTGACAGCATCACGCTCAACAAAATTCGCATCCGTTGACAGACGTTGGTAGTTGATTGATTGTAAGACAACGCTGAAACGATTAGTCAGGTCATTGATTAGAAAATGAATTGACAGATCGCAAATGATATGATTAAAAACAATATGGTAAATCATTTTACACACTCAGACAAAATATTTGCTGGTTTCAGTGTTAATATTTGCTACTAATTTATAATAATAGTTGATTAATAATAAAATGATAATTTCTCTAATTTCTCTACTTGTATAATGAGTGTTTTTTTTTTAGTTTTCGGCTGATTTTTTTATTAAATAATCAGCCCAAAACTGAAAATATCCGAAAATATTAGAAGTCTTTCTCGCTGCCATACTGTCTGGGTTAGCCAACAAAACAATCAAACCTGGATGTCAAATCAGTCTATTTAGATTTTGCAGGTGTGAAATTTACCCAGAAAGATCAGCAACTGAACTATGATTTTATGACATTCTAGTTAAACAAAACTGTGATGCAAGACACTTCGGTACAGCTGCTGCTTACTGAATCAGGGGACTGAGCCAAGATTTATTTTGAATAGATGATTCCTGAAGGGTAATTTTGGAGTATAGATGGAAGATTACTGTGGTATTGTGTCTTTCCCTTTCCATCCATGTTCAGCCCTGTATTTATTCCTTCTACTCCATTCTGTTTGTGTTTATATCTCAGGGCAGAGTAGACTTGGAATGAATCTGAAAGAGGGGGTGGCATGTAAATGTCAACCTAATAAAAAAAAAAAACACTCAGTGCACTCCATTCACACGTCGCCTTTCACCCTCCGGTGGTACCCCACAGCGCCCCTGGGATCACTTCAGATGCCAAACACTAAACATGGTCTTTCTGGGAAGTTATTGTTACGGTTATTTATAGGACACAGTGGTGCTGGCAGAGAGGAGCAAGGGAGCAGGGGGAAAAAAATCCTCCTGTGTGTTTTTGTGGCCTCTATAAATGTGTGCGTGTGTGTGTGTGACAGACACAGTGGTTACATAGGCACCATAGGGTTTTGCCCTGTGGCTCCGTCTGATATTTATAAGTCATGTTTAGTTCTGCACCAGAATATTTTGGGAGGCTCCCCTGAGACCCCTGAAATAGTATGTCTGACTTGTTCCATGATCCTTAAACTCCCTTTGTTATTATCCTGCCTCTCTCTTTCTCTCTCTCTTTGTCTCTCTCTCTCTTTGTCTCTCTCTCTCTCTCTCTCTCTCTCTCTCTCTCACACACACACACACACACACACACACACACACACACACACACCGCGGGATAGACTTTTGTAGCACAAACCTGTCAGTTGTTGCCATGGGGGAAACACTGGAAAACTGTTTTTTAGCTACTGATTTTGATTCATCTGATCAAGTGCATGAAAGTAAATTATAACTTTGATTAAAAATGTATGTATTTGTTGCAGATGTTAAAAATCAACTTAAGCTTTTTGTTTGTTTTTTCCTCTTTTTGCTCTTCTTCCCTTCATATGTCTTTCTTCGTCTCTTTCCCTTTCCCTCTCTGCCTTAATGTGTCGGGCTTTTTGTCCGCTATGTGTCGGAGCAGCTTATTCACTTGCAACCATGAATCATGAGTCATTGTTACCTTGAACAGCTGAGTCAAGCTTTGCTTCTCTGTGGACTTCCTGGCCTCTGTGACCCCTAATCTGATCCCTTTGTTTGTGTGTGTGTGTGTGTGAGAGAGTGTGTTGATGTGCAACAACCGGAACTTCTTTGCAGTCTTGTATTTGCTCCTTCATAATAATCTTCATAGTATAGCTCTGTGATATTTAAATCAAACATTTGAAGGGACCTAAAGCAGTATAACTATAAAATCAGAAAGTACTCTGTGTTTACTTTGCCCCTGCAAGAAGATTAGGCAAATTAGACTAACAATGGATTAAAAAGAAAATACTACGATGTGGTTTGAGAAAGGAAATCTGCATATAACGAGTCAGCAGTGGTCACGGTGTTCTTTGTATTTCTGTGATGTGTGACTGATGTTGGAAGGCAGGAATGCAGATGTAGAAATGGGACATTTAAAATGCCAGGAAGGAAAAATGCCCATCTGCAAAGTACAAAAAACATCAGCAACTATAAACATTTTTATCAAGTTAAGTTTAAGTGATTTTTCTCCTGCTTGCTCATACTGCATTATGATCTCTCGTAATCTTGCTCGTCAGAAAGATTCAAAAGAAGGCCGTTCCTCAAAGAGTAGGGACTGTCTCTGGGACAGTTCCTTCCAAAATGCACGTGAAGTTCCTGACTTCCAGGAAAAGTTGCTGCAATGGACAAAAAAGCTGTGATAGAAGAGTGTGTGTTCAGTAGAGTTCAAACCCATTGTTTTTTATGCATCTAGCCACTGTCTTGTAAGTTAATTTCCATTTTGCTGTCATGCAGTGGAATACGGCAGTTGAATGACACATCTGGGCTGCAGCTCTCTAAACATTAAACCCTGACATTTACAACTTAACACTCAGCCGTAACGATGTCATCCTGGATACTTATTTTATCCACAAGTCTTCAGTAAGTCATGTTGGACATGTAGGCTGTAGGAGTTTTGTGAAGTGTCTTTAAATTGAACTACTTTCTGTCCGTGCGTCTTGTAAAAATGGACGTTTTTTTGCATGGCGAAAGTTCGTTGAAGCAAGAAATAAATGTACAGACAGGACACATAGTGCAAGAGAGAGAGGAGTGTGAGATGTAACGCATGCTCCTAATGGGAATCGATCCAGAGTGTTTGCAGCTATGTTAAATTGTCTTATCCGCTTGGACACCACAATAGTTTGCTTTTTTTAAAATGATAATAAAAAAGAAAACATTTATACAAGACTGAAGAATTAAACCAGTGAGACCTCTGTATTGTCTGAAATACAGAACCTGACATTTGGTTCTTAAACACTGTAAACTGAACTGAACCTAAATAAAGCAAGGTTACAGTGTATTACAAAAAAGGTTCATTCCAATTGACTTTATTACGGTTCATATTAAGACTAACATTTTGAATGCATGTCAGTGTTTGTGTGGGTGCCCTTCTGTGTCTGCAAAAAAATGTGCATTGTCCACATTGTGTATCCTTTAGTAGAATGATCTGATCATCTACATGCTTTGATGATTGATCTTCTTCTGTTTTCACAGGACATGAGGAAACATGTGATGATGACCCTCTTGGACACAGAGCAGTCGTATGTGGAGTCACTACGCAGTCTCATTCAGGTAACACACAACTACACGTTCTCACACTGTACTAGCATATATACACACGCAGTTCACCTCAGAATATTCTGACATATCTCTGGTCTAATAAGAGTGTAATGTTCACCGATGAACAAACAGTCTTATTGAGCGTTTTACCATCGCGCACAAAGAAACACAGCATTGTGGATTCACAGATTGCTGAGGACGTGAATAACAAATGTAGGTAACAACGGTGTTATGTAATCCACTTATTGCCATTCATCCCGTCAGGCTAATCTGCTAAACCCGTCACATCTCACTGTCATCAGCATTATCTGCTCCCACACACAAAGAAACCCCCTCTCTCTCACCTATATCTGACACCTGTCGCTAACTATCCTTTAGCCCAAATCTTAGCTGCATCCCTCTCTCTCTGTCACACACACCCACACACACACACACAGGGTCCCTACCTGTTTTATAACATGTCACCGTTCGCTGTGTGTGGGCTGAACACCGTGTTTGTGTGTGTATGTATGTGCTAGCACACATCTCTGTGCACTCACATCCCAACGTTGCACACTGACTTGTCTCCCTCTATGCATACGTTTCTGTCTGCGGCCACAAAGTGAATAATCCTACGCTGCGTTCCCATGGCGACACAGGGAAAGCCAGTGTTACCACGGTGACTGCAGCGAGAGTGCAGATCCCCCTGAAGGAGGGTCTCGGATGCGGTTCAGCTGAGACCGCTCGACGGCAGCGTGGTCCCAAGTGGAAATCCCACTCTGTGGTTTCTGTGAATAGATATATTATTTGTTTTTGTATCACAGCTTAGTTAGCTGACAAAGGACCAGATATATAAATATGAGCTGCACTTAATGTTTCTATAATAATTACAATGGATCAAATGCATGTGAAAGATGTCGCACATACTGTCAAGCACACAGTCTAAGTCATATTACTCGGAGTAGAGGATGTGATGATTTATTAGAATGATCACAACTATTTTTATACACCCAATTAAAAATCTACACGTTAGTTAGGCCAAAAGGAAACCATATTTAATGTGTGTAAGAGAGACACATCTGATATTCCCTTGTAAATAGTCCCAGATAAATCCTATGTGGACATTGTCAATGATGACGCTGTGCTCAACCCCGTCACAAAGGTGACACATCATCAAGTTTGTCATGATGACCCACACAGCAATCACTCGTCGTCCACACTTTTGTCACATTCCTGACCGTCTCCTCTCTCTCTGCAAAAAGAACAGTACAACACTTTCACGAATGAGCAGAGGTACATTTTAGTGGCAGCTAATGCAAGTTGATACTTGAGACAAAACACACCGAACTTCCAACCTACCTGATTTCAAGATGAGCAACATCGTCATCAGAGAAGCTCTGAATGCTTCTCTATAAAGATGAGCTATTTCAGGCAGATAATGAGCTCTTATGTAATGTATTTCCAAGAGAAAGAAAGTTGAATGAAGCTGAATCAAAAGTCTCAAACCCCTCTTTCTCCCAACTTTCTTCAATACAAATGTTTTAACAAGGCAATTCAATTATACATCCGATGGGCCATGATGTCAGGCAGTGAGCAATGCACCGCTCACTGGATTTAACTGCTTCTGGAGTCACATCTGTCTGAGTCCATTTTAGATAGTAAAATGAATCTCTAAATGTCTCTGTGTGGCACTGTTTGTTTGAGAAGACAGGGATATATTAGCTTGTATCATTCTGTTACTAGGTCTTTTACTGGGATGTGTGGTTTTGTTTTTCCTGCTAAGCCCAGTATTGTCAGCAGAGGGCGCTCTAGGCATTATATACTTGGCATCAGTAGCTAGCTAACAGTAGAGTAGAAGAAAGCCGTCAGCGCGTGATGAGTGAGTTTAAGTATAAACTGGGCAGAGAGTTTCTGACCTCACCTGTATTTATATATTTCAGCAGGTAAACTGATAGTAGATAATATGAGCTCACGTGAGTACAGCCTTAGTAACAACAGCAACAGAGACATTGAATTTGATTGTAGCCGTGAATCAGTTTTGGGTTTTGCTGAGCTTCTATTGTTAAAATTGGTGGAGCTGATTTAAATAGCTAATTCTACTAACTAACTAAGCTAAAAGACTAACTAGTTCTGTGTGAGCTAAAGTCCGTTAAATGTTTTACATATTTATGTTTGGTAATAACTGTGTGAAGCATGGCTGAATTGAGGGAATGTTTACAGCAACATAGTTTAGGAGAGAGCCAGTATCATGCAGGCTGTAGCTAGAGCTAATAATTACTTCTATTGGAATGTTAATGCTAATCGCCGCTAGCATGCTAATGCTATAGCCGGTGTTATTACCTGTATGCTAACCCTCTAAAGTCACGTCAGAGAAATATGTTTTACGGCAGACGTTTTCAAAATAAGAGCTCATTCAATAATGAGCACAATTCATACAGTTTTAAAAGTAGTAATAATACAAGAGCATACTAGTATACATACTAGAGCAATGTTAAATACTTACCTATTATTTACCTGGTGTTTTCATCTAAATTAAGTTTGTCCATTACTTAACCGTAAACCCTGAAAAGAAAGTTAATTGAGAGTAAAGCCAATCAAACTACAGAATTGCCATCAAAATTGGAGCAAAATGTCTCCCACCATCACTGTCAGTTACATTAAAATCTAGTATTAACACTAATACAACTAATTTCAGCTAATTTACAAGGAGCTACAACAATAATTAGTTCTCAAAGGTCTCAATGCTAGAAACAAATTGCCCCGTGGCAGCTAACCTCGTGCATATAATGTTAAAGTGATTTGAAATGGTCTGTAACTAACTGGTTGTCTTGTCCTCTCAGGGCTACTTGCGTCCTCTCAAGCAGCCGGACAGCGGCTCCATAGTGGACCCTCTGCTGGTGGACGAGATGTTCTACCAGATCCCAGAGATCCTGGAGCACCACGAGCACTTCCTGGAGCAAGTTGCCGGCTGCGTCGGCCAATGGCATGATAGGCAGACCGTGGGACACTTCCTCATCCAATCAGTGAGTAGAGATGACGATAAGCGTCCTCTCCTGCTATTTTTAATGATAAGAAATATAATTCATATGAGTCTACTAATGTGTTTGAACTTTACAAAGAGTCAAATCGGGTTTGTTGCTTCCATGATGTTAAAGAGAACAAGTTACTGTGGAAAGCCAACTGTAACCAAGTGACTTTAGTGTCTTACTGAAGAGTTTTCTTCTTGCTCTCTTCTGTAGGAATGTATTTAGCATGTGTTCGCATTGTTAGCTCGTGTATGCGATATGTAAGGTGAGTGTGTGAGACAGTTAACCTCAGACACTAGCAGTAATCCCTTTACGTCTACGAATCCAACACAGCAAAGGCTGGTGTTGTGTGGAAGAGGCTCCGGAAATTCTAAACGTTGTGTATATAACTATGAATTATAGAAATTCTGTTCAGAAGATTCAGTGCACTTTGCTTCTCTGGGACAGTTTTATTGCTTCACTGTGTGTTTGTTTTTATTATCTCTGCAAGATAAGCTCAGGACAGAAGTTCAGCTCTGTAAAATGGTGGTTTTCTTTGTCATTATTCAAATGCATTCACGTTTTATACAGGTTCTTGTACATGTTTTGAGACAGTAGTTGATCAATCTGGAGGTCTTAGCTTTGGGAACCGGTGGGTCGCCGGTTCAAGTCCCCGCTAGACCGGGCACTACAGAGCTACCCTTGAGGAAGGCATCAGACCCCAAACTGCTCCCCCTGTCTTACAATAGACAGTGACAATAGAAGTTGATTCATATTTATTGTTATCATATTTATAAATTATTATATTTTGAAGTTTGATTCCACAAATTTTCTAAAAATTGGACTTTTCTGATGTACTAAAGTGCAGCAGTCAAAGCAACTTGTACAGACACATAAACTGTATCTGACTACACGAGAGCTTAAATGAATAAACAGTCCTTAAAAAGCATTATTGGACTGAAGGGAAGCTGTTTTTATTGAAGAGACAGTTGGCAACACTGGTTTAATATTTTGTTTTCCCGGTGACCTCTTGTCGACCTGTTTAAAGTTTCCCACGACCCGAGGGTGGCTCTCAACCTAGACCGTTCAAAAACAAGTGCTCTCAAACATCCGCGTTGGACTAAATGTCAGGTTGAAAGAGAATGAAAGAAAAAATGACTTCTAGCTTCAGTTGTAACGGCTATAACAGTTTACATGAAGTCAAAAGAAGCACATATATTCCTGTTTCTTCACAGTCAGACTTATAGACCAGAATGCAGTGCGGCCACAGCTTTTGTTTTGTATTAGGTGGGGTGAAAAAAACCTCACGCTCTTGCTATGTTAATGCTATTGTTATCCCGCTCAGCACCTCACAGCGTGAATGAAACAACTGGAGACACAAACTGTCACACAATGACAATGGGTCTAAGGGAAAGACGAGCAGTTAAAGAAGTAGATTGAGGAAAACTACAACACTTCATACGTTTTATATACATTGTGAATAGGAAAGGAATGGCAACAGAAGAACACAGCGGAGAGAGAAGTAAGGTTGTTGCTCAGCTGTGGTAGAGCCTCCCCCACTGCTCACACTGAGCCTCAGCCTCCCACCCTCCTCCTCCCCTTTGTCTCCCGCCGCTGCAGCTTTTCAATGTGCAACAGCCTGTAGTGATCTCAGGCCTCGTTGGCGCAGTAGGCAGCGCGTCAGTCTCATAATCTGAAGGTCGTGAGTTCGAGCCTCACACGGGGCACTTCTTTTGGTTCAGCTGTCTGCCGTTTACAGCGGCAGAGGGATCCAGCAAATGTGCTGTGCCATTGTTTTATGCTTTGTGGGAAATGTCCCCACAACCGGGGTATTTTACACTGCACTGAATCAGTTCTCGTTTGTGTTTGTAGACACTCTGCTCTCTCTGCGCCCTGTAATGACAGACGGTTAACAGAGCTACGGCTAGATCAGTTGATGATATATTTAGAACATTTAGTTTCACCGTCTACATGAAGTAGAGATGGAGAGCGTTCCTGTTCTCTCTCTGTCTCCTCTTCTGGGACTAGTCCTGAAGTTGTCCTCAGATTTTATATCTCTGTCCTCTTACTGTTCCTCAAGACTAAGGCTACATCCACACTAATACTTTTTCATTTAAAACAAAAGCGATCTCTGTCCACACGGGAGTTTCAGCAGCGTGTGTGAAATTATTTACGTCCATACTAGCAAGCCTGAAAACAAATATCACATGAAGTTTTATTTTTCAAACTTAGTTACAACGCTGCAAGTCAAACTCATCCGTCCTCGGGAGCGTTTCTAAACTTTTCCGTTGCTCTAAAGCGGCTGACTAGTGTGGACGCTCAGTGTAAACGTAGCAAACGATGTGCGTTTTAAAAATGGAAACGTAGCAGTGTGGACATGGCCTGATGGAGGAGAGGACACTGGGAGATGGATGATGAAAGAGAAATGCAGAAGAGGGTCGGGCTATTTCATGACTCTGACGTAAAACACACATTGTGGATTATTACACTGTTTGTGTCTTTCAGTCCCTCTATTTGTGAAAGGAAAGCAGGTCAGGGTGAATCATCTGTGTGTGTTTATGTGTATGTTTGATGGAGTGAAAGAACTATTATTCTATTATATTCGGCGAAAACACCAAGGTATAATGATTTATTTACACAGTGACGAACACAGGACATACTCAACGTTGACCGTTGAGAACATATAATTAGCCCACAGTCAACCAAAATAGCAATGCGGTGAAAACAAACAGCTGAAACGATTATTAAATTATCAAAATAATTCTATTTTTATTTTGTTATTTATCAATTAATTGACTAATTGTTTCAGGTCTAATAGATTAATTGCATTTTGTTGAAGGGAGACGTGTGCAGTGATAACATAGAGGTTGACCTGCTGTATAATCCTCTTACCAGCACCTCACATATTCTTAACCAACTTTCTTTTGCTAACAGGGTTGTGGTTCAAACGTTGAACAAGCCATCGTCACATAAAGGTTTACGCACAGTAATTTAAAATATGCTCTTCTGCTTTTCCTCCAGTTCTCCAAAGAGACGCTCGCTAATATGTATTCAGCGTACATCGACAACTTCCTCAATGCCAAAGATGCTGTGAGGATTGCCAAGGAGGCCAAGCCAGCGTTTCACAAGTTCCTGGAGGTGAGTGTTCGACAGGACGTCCCGTTTGCTCCGGGCAGCTGCTCTCATGTGTGCGTTTGGAAAACTGGCAACTTAGTCGAGATGTTTTCGTCGTCTGGTGGAAGAGCCTTTAACCAGCTTTCAGAGCATGAAAGCTTCTTTGTTGTCCGTGTTTGTCAAAGTTTAAATTGTGTATATGCTAAAGTGTGTGTGTGTGTGTGTGTGTGTCCTGTCTTGTTCCTCCAGTTTGTCCAGGAAGGTATTCCTGTTATTTTTCTGTTTAAAAGAGAGACATGTGATTGTTCTTTCTCTACAGGAATGGATATACATCCACTGTATTTAGACACACTGGCTTCAAATACAATTTTTGTGCTAATATCCTCATTTCTAAATTCGATTATGTCAAATTTAATGCGAGGAACTGTGTTTTTTTCCTCAGCTCAGGAGATCTGAAGGATCTTAAATGTTTACCCAATGCAAGAAAACTACTGAAATATATTTTCTCTTTCAGTAAATATATATCTTTTTTGATCTTTCTGGGTGTGGAATTATAAATAAGGACTAATTACTGTCTCAAATCATCTCTTTAAACCAATTCAACCAGATGATTTGTCTTAAAAACCCTGGAATATATTAGCACTATGTCCAGTTAAACATGGTAGACCACTCTTCACCAGAAATACACGTATGGGAATAACACCACAGACAGAAGCGCCGATGCAGAAATTGTAATCAGGCACCACAAAAAGCTGCCGTGTCCTCGTCCTGTTCTCAGTTTTCAACCACAGAGAGCTTCATGTTTTTAGAGTGGAGTCACGTCGCCATCCTGTGGTGGAGACTTGAATTGCAACACATCTCGTTACTTGAGCTTACTCGTGTCTCCATCCTCCTCCTATCTTCACCCCCTTACAGCAAAACATGCGTGAGAACAAGGAGAAGCAGGCTCTGGGGGATCTGATGATCAAACCAGTCCAGAGGATTCCTCGATATGAGCTGCTGGTGAAGGTGAATAATCCTCCTTTCTGTATTCTGTTAAGTAGCCTCATCCTGTGTTTAGAAGCTCACATAGAGGCAGATTAATTAATTCATTTGTGTTTGTTTTGTGTTCAAGGACCTGCTCAAGCACACCCCAGAGGATCACCCGGACCACCCGTACTTACTGGACGCCCAGAGAGACATCAAGCGATTGGCTGAGAGGATCAATAAGGGGCGTCGCTCCGCTGAGGAGGCGGAGAGGGAGGCCAGGGTCATCCAGGAGATTGAGGCGCACATAGAGGGAGTTGAACATGTGAGATCTATACATCACAGTAAAGATAAAATGCAAAGCAGACTGTCCTCTTGGTTAATTGATTAATTTCACGTCACAGGATATAAGAAAATGTTATGGTATATTAAGTGATGTGTGTGTGTGTGTGTTTGTGTGCGTTTGTGTTAGATTCTGAACCCCCAGAGGAAGTTCTTGAGACAGGAAATGGTCATGGAGGCGGTAAGAAGTACTTTCTGAGTTGACAACTATTTGTAGCATAGTAAGGTTTCTGTATTCATGTCGAGGAGAATAAGTCAAAGTAATGGGACTGATTAAAGAGGACTGTGTCATGAATATAATATTGTGTTAAAAGTGATCCAGAGCCAAAGGTAAGATTGTCTGAGCTTCTCTTCTCTTTTGTCTGTCTCTCTCTCTCTCTGTAGAAGACAGTCGGTGGGAAGAAGGACCGTTCTCTCTTCCTCTTCAGTGATCTGATCATCTGCACCACTCTCAAGAGGAAGTCTGGCTCATTAAGACGCAGCTCCATGAGCCTGTACGTGACACACGCACACACACACACACACACCAAGCCATCATAATACAGTTTCCAAACCACATTGCCCCCTGGTGTTGTACAATAGGTCACGTTTGTCCTCATTTTCTCTTTCTATCTCTTCTTCTTCTTATTCTGCTCTCTCTCTCTCAGATACTCTGCTGCGAGTATGATTGATACCTCCAGTAAATACAAGTTCCTGTGGAAGCTTCCCCTGGAGGACGTGGAGGTGGTGAAAAGTAAGGCTCCAGCTATTGATGGCATGAAACGCATTCCTGTCACTTCAATATTTTCTTCATCATGATGGTGTTTTAATTTGAAATACATCTCTGCTTTAGGCTCCACTCAGGCAACAAACAAGGAGAGCATCCAGAAGATGATTAGTCGATTAGACGAGGATGTCAGCACTCTGGGTCACATCAGCAAGCTGTCTGAGACCCTCAGCTTCCCACATCAGGTACTGTGGACCGGCGCACACACACACCCCATGTATCACTGTGTCTTCACTTCTGTTTTTTTGTACACAATGAGTAAGAATGACTTTATTTACATCTGTCTTATTGTCTTCTGTCTATGATACGGTACGACATCTAACGGCCTTTTCTTTTCTTGCTGTTTCCGTCTCTCTCAGTCCCTGGACGAGGTGATAAAGGACCTGATGTCATCGGTGCACAGGGAGCTGTCGGAGAAGCAGTCTCTGGCCTTCAGCATGACCTTCTTGCCCACAAAGCTGGAGTTCACCACGGCCTCCGCCGAGAGCAGCTTCGTCTTCGAGTTCACTTCGCCTGACACGCGCTCCAACTTTGAACAGGCCTTTGAAGACGCCAAGAAGAAGTTAGGTGAGTGAAAAAGGGAAACATTATTTCCTGTAGTGTAGCGTGTCAGGCACAGTAGACAAAGGAGATAGCAGCAGCAGCAGCAGCAGCATGTAGATGCAATGGTTTCATTTCATGTCAAGTTGGTTTTATTTATATAGCCCAATTTATCACAATTTTGCCTCAAGGGCTTTACAATCTGTGCAGCATATGACTTTGACTCTCCTCAGGTTAAGTATAAACTCTCAGATCATTTGCAATAAGCACCTTAAATTATTGTTGCTGCCGTTTTCTCAACTGTCAATGTGCCGATGTGTTTAGCAATGAATAAGGACCAGTGGGACCCAGAGTTTCTGAAGGCTATTCCTATCATGAAGACGCGCAGTGGAATGCAGGTGAGATTCTGTGTTTACATGTAGATGATTTAGACCAGCTTTCTTTACAAATGTACAAACGTAATCAATGCGCCGTTGTTTGTCTCCAGTTTTCGTGTGCCTCTCCCAGCCACAGCTGTCCCGACAGTGGTTGTGAGGTGTGGGTGTGTAACAGTGATGGATATGTGGGACAGGTGAGACACTATTATTATAATAGTCCATGTGCTTTCTGGTGGTGGAAAAAAACAACACAATTTAACAGTTGCAGTTAAAGCTTGACTGATGATGATGCTTTCTCACTGCAGGTGTGTCTGTTGAACATCAAAGATGAGCCCACAGTCGAGGCCTGTATCGCCGTCTGCTCAGCGAGGATCATATGTATCGCTGCCGTACCCGGACTCAAGGGAAGGTCAGTACACACACACACACACACACACACACACACAATTGCATTAACAAAATGCTTAATCTGCACCTGTCTGGTTCATTGATTCGATCCCTGACCGATGACTCTTGACCTCGTAGGGAGCGCGGATCAGAGCCCACTCTGGCCACAGCCTCCGCAGCAGCGGGTCACACCCAGCAGCAGCTCCACATATCTATCTGTCAATCATCTCTGGAGCTGACAGAGCAACCCACAGGTTAGTCCATGAGGGCTTTACAACATGACGAGCAGCAACAGCTGTTAGCTGCTATAGTATAATCCTATCTGTTGATATTATTGGCCTGTATGAATGGCATCGACTTCTATTCTACTTGTATACACTGCAGTTTTTGTTTGGATGCATATTTTCACGATGAACTGATTGTTTGCAGGACCAGGGGCGGAGCTTGTTCCTTTTGACAGCGATGACACGGATGACGAGGATTCACCCAGTCCCTCCTCTACTCTACAGAGTCAGGCCAGTCACTCCACCATATCCTCCAGCTACGGCAGTGAGTAAAAATAACACTCCAGTCTCACACACGCACACACACACACACACACACACTTAAATACTTAAACTCTCATTTCCTCCTCTAAGATGACGAGGGCCCCAGCTCCAAGGACATGGCCACAGAGACCACCAGCAGTGAGGAGGAGCAGGAGTTCCCGGTGGCGAGCTCCTACGGAGCCCCCGGGATGTTGGGGGTGGGCGGAGGAGGAGGAGGCCGCGGCAACACGGAGAGCGCCATGGACGGCCGCGCCATGCGCCGCTCCTCTCGGGGCTCCTTCACCCGGGCCAGCCTGGAGGACCTGCTCAGCATCGACCCGGAGGCCTACCAGAGCTCAGTGTGGCTGGGCACAGAGGATGGATGGTGTGTGTGACACACACACACACACACTCATGTACACAGATGAATTAAGTTTAGTTTTCTGTTTGCACATAGAAAATGTTGGTTATTAAAGCACTGATTTCATCACCTAACCTCCTATCATGCCTCTGTTCCCGTTAGCATCCATGTGTACCAGTCCTCGGACAACATCCGTAACCGTAAGAACAGCATGAAGATGCAACACTCAGCCTCCATCCTCTGTATACTGTGAGTTCCCTTCTTTTCCACCACTTTGCCTTTAAAAAGTAATAATAATAGTGGAACTTATGCTGCTTTAGACATTAGAAAATGTGAAGCCACAAGGAGGGAAAGCTATTTTTTTCATCTCATTGTGTGCTTTACTTGACATCCCTCCTTTTCTTTTTCCTCCTACAGGTATTTGGACAACAAAGTGTTTGTGGCATTGGCCAGTGGAGAAGTGATCGTCTATCAGAGGGAAGCAGGTAAGACGGGCGGGTGGAGCAATTTTTGTTTCTGTGGAAGCTGAAGCATTTTTCTGAACATTATCTTTAAATGGCTGCTACTGGGAGTGCTGACATTATCGTTATTCCAGCTTGCTTCAACCACTTAAGTATCCAAATTATTCATGTTTTTGTATTCTCCCCCCCCTTAATCTCAATCTGCAGGTAGTTTCTGGGACCCTCAGTCTTCTCAGACCTTAGTTCTGGGCACGCCCAGTAGCCCCGTCACCAAAATGGTTCCCGTGGGAGGAAAGCTTTGGTGTGGCTCACAGAACAGAGTGCTTATTATCAACACAACTACACTGGTGCAAGAGGTGGGTAGAAGGATGGACCAAAGTGTGTACGGGTGGATGAGGGACAATGCAGACAGAACAATCACTGTGTGTGTGTGTGTGTGTGTGTGTGTGTGTGTGTGTGTGTGTGTGTTCTCTGGCTCTCAGCACTGGTTCCAGGTGGGCACAGACAGCAGTCGGTGTGTGACCTGCATGGTGGCGTACGGTCAGGGTGTGTGGTTGGCATTGCAGGGAAGTGCACATGTGAAACTCTACCACGCTCAGACCTTGGAGAGTCTGACGGAGGTGGACGTGGCGCCTGCTGTGCATAAGATGCTTGCAGGTAAAACAAGATTTTTTTAGAGTGACAGAAATGTGTTTACATATTGTATTTCTGTCTTTAATCCCCAATTTAAAATATCTTCCCTGTCCTCTATCCTCCATCATTCTCTCTCCACTATCTCTCCCTTTTCTCCTCCCTACATCCTCCCCACTTTTCCCTCCCCCCTCGCCTACACCCCATTGTCTCTTTTGTCTCTCTCGCTCTCTCCATTCAGGTGCAGACGCGATCATCAGACAGCACAAAGCCGCCTGTCTGAGAATCACAGCGTTGCTGGCCTGTAAGGATCTGCTGTGGATCGGCACCAGTGCAGGTAAAAACATACCAAAATACATTTAGCTCGATGATTTCACCGAAGTAGCATTTAGTTTCCCTCAGAAACGTCATTCACATGCAAACAGCATTACAAAAGTCATAACGGATATGTCGTATTTAGTGTTTATTAGATGAACTGATTAGATTTTGTCGGTCAAAGATCACTGTGTGTATGTTAATTATGACAATTTCACACAATTGTCTTGACATTTTGGACAGACATGGATGTAAACTACAATACGACTGTTTAGCAGAGAAATACAACCGTGAAGGCGTTAATTATAGTCTTTCAATAAAAAGAAAGTGTGTTTTAAGATGGTGTTCTTCTGCAGGGGTGGTCCTTACGCTGGTGATCCCGGCAGTGAGCTCGGGAACCGGTGCCGGGACACTGAAAGTCCCCCAGGTGCCGATGGGCTCGGCTCACGGACACACGGGACACGTTCGGTTCCTCACATCCATTGAACTACCGGAAGGGTTCGACATGAGCTTCCCTCCGACAACAACTGACTCCACAGGTAGTTCAATGCTTGTTATGTGCACTCTCGTCTACTTTTGCAGCACAAAAATTGAACAACTTCACCGAAATTTTATCATCCCTTTAATCCGCTCCTCTCTGTTTTTAGGCAACCAATCTCAGAGCAGCACAGTTGACGGGAACCTCCAGAGGCGTGACTCGGCGCGGCGCCGAGCCTCGGCCCACATCCCGTCAAAAACCAACCATCTGGTCATTTCCGGCGGCGACGGCTACGAGGACTTCCGACTCACCAATAGCAGTGAAACGGTCGGACGGGACGACAGCACCAACCATCTTTTGCTTTGGAAGGTCTGAGGCCATCGACCCCCGGTGTGAACAAACCCGCCCCAACCTCCTCTGCACAAGCTCCCGCCCTCTCCACATCGGACTCGTCACTTTTTTGGTGTTGCTGTGGTCTTCTGCTCAGTTCCACCAAGTCTCTATGTGCGTAATTTGGCTGCCAACTCCCTCCTGGACCTTTTTAATGAGTATGATCATGTCAAAGCCAGTTTTTACCGTGTTGATGTTTCTGATGGTGTGCGTCGTTGCTCTCTTGAGTGGTGTCTGTGCGTGTGCATTTCCTTTTTTTTTTTTGGCATCTGCAAATATTGTCTAGAAAAGCGTCTTTAAACTCGAGTCTTCGCTGAAGGAGACAGAAGAAGAGACGGAGAAGGAGGAAAGAAACTTTCACACGTGGATGTATGTTTAGACTGTGAAGAGGACAGGAGGTAGAAACAGGACGTCTGAGTACATCAACCCTTCACCCCATCATCACTTCATCTTAGCCTGAACTGCAGATAAAATGCCTCCTGATGATCAGAGGTAAATGTCATGTAAAAGTGAAATACACCATCACAGACTAGTTCGATGGATATTCTGAATTCATTTCTGCAGTCGGAGCTCAAGATTGGAAGAGAGGTTCAGCTGATGTCTGTGAGCTTTTAAAAAGACAAAAACAACGTCTCCACGATCATTGCTTATAGATGCCAGACTACTAACGTCCTCTTTTCTCCTGTTGAGGGAGAGTGAATATCATTAAAGTGCAATATGTGGCAAGGGTATCTAGCAAGACACACACACACACACACACACAGACAGACATTAATGCACACATCCTCTCACTGAATAGGAAGCATAAATGTGTTTTTTCCACAGATAATCACTTTGTATCTGATTTTCTTATTTCATTTTTGTTTTGTCAGTATAAGATGACATGAACGTAGATGATGCCCGCTGCTGGAGTTGAGCAGGAAAAGTGCATTTGGAGACGTTCCTCCTGAACACGACTATGCCAAAGCCTTGTATGCGTTACAGTTTTGACATGAAATGTTTTTGTTTGTTCAGCAGAAATCCGGAGCTGAAGTTACTGACTTCTATGACGCTATAGGCTGTGGTAGCAGATTAACGATAGTGATGTACAGTATTTATGGTTTTGATTTTTAGCGCCGCCTTTTTCCAGCACTTAATTTATAGAAGATCTAGTTTTCACTTTTTGTTTAGGAGTTGAAGAACAAGCAGGCCCGGACTCGAGTAGCGGAATAGATAACTAGGCGTAGTTTGGTTCAGGCAGACATGCACACAGCGGGGGGTTGCATACACTCATCTATTGGTTGTTTGTGCCCAAAAGACTCAGACTGCGGACTCATCCCAAAATTCCCCTCACGCTGTCTCTGAACACAGCGCAATCCTTATCTTGAAACAGACAGTCGTGTGTTCGGGTGCTGAACGCAAAGAGATGCTCAACCATTTCTATTATTTGACAGCTTCACGGTGCGTATTGTGTCACAGGACGTGTGGCGCTAAGATGTGTCGTTACACCCCCGATGCACGCGCTTGATTTCAGTATTGATCGTTGGAGAACGAGTTGCATGTGGTGTGTTTGTGAGGAAAGAGATACAAAGTAGGTCAGAAGGACAAATGCTGAGCACCTGCACGTGCCTTCAGAAGGCTAAAAGTTAAGCCCTTAAACACACACACACACACACACACACACACACACAGTGAAAAGCTCTCGGCTCTCACTCGCACTGCAGCAGAAGTCAGAGGGAAGTGAAAGGTGCCTCTGACTCGTCCTTGCACACACTCGCATGTTGGCGTCAGGCTACATCAGGCTTTGTGGGGTTAAGCAGAGATCGTCTTTGGTTCCTCCAAACCTAGAAAGCCTTGTTGCACTTTGCCGGCCATCTGGGCGCTCACCTCAGAACGCAAGTGAGCTCTTTACCTTTGTGAGTGTAAAGGCCTCTGTGTGTGTGTGTGTGTGTGTGTGTGTGTGTCTGTGCGTGTGTCTGCAACCTCCGTAAGTGCTCTGTTACTCAGTTAAGAAGTATGAGAAGGACATTGGGACTTTCTGCCCAGAATGTAGGCTAAATTACAGTTAGCTTGTGGTAGCATGTATAGAATACAGCAGAGGAAAGTTTGACAATTTGAGCAAATGTTACAGGACGAGTTCAACACTTTGGGAAATACGCTTATTCGGTTTCTTGTCGAGGAGTTTGACACCCCTCTCTAAGACGAGCGTGATATTATCTTCTCAGCTAACGCGAAGAAAAAAAGGGAACAAGGTTATTTCCCAAAATGTTTAATTATTCCTTTTACGTCCTCTAAGGTTTAAGGTAGCAGAAAGTGTTTTTTTATGTTATGTATGATTCACATCAAATTATTAATATTTGCCATGAGCTGCCCGGTCATCCAATGAACATGCTGTATATCTATGCTGGATGTAGAGGGTTGGAGAGCTCCTTCGGGTGGAGTCTTATGTTGTCTGTGAGAAATGATGTGGAGGAACATCGGTGTGCCATCTCTGCTGAGTCGGGCAACGGAGAAACTAAATCACTTAGTGTCCTGGGGCTGAAACCGAAACCTTGGAGTCAATAATTCTCAATTCAGCCGATTCAGAAAGTTGGTAGGTTTTCTTTTTAAATCAGAAAAAAAATTGGCTGAAGAATATACTTTTACATTCACATGGTAGTCACATAAATACTAATGACTGAACACTATTTTCAGCAGTTGCATTTTATGTTTTAAACGCAGTGTAATGAGTTTGACTCTTTATTTTACAGACATACAAGCATGCACACGAACACACCGCGTCTTAGATATGAAGTAAACCTAGATGCTATAACTTGACCCGGACAGAGAGAATGAAAGAGAAGAATCGCATCAAACACATCCTATCATCACTAACTCTCACTGAACATGTTGGTTATCCTCCTCGTGCCCGTATGTGAAAGAAGTCTTTATTGTTGTAAATATTGGTATATATTGCCTTTTTTCTGTAAATAGTGCACCCACGGTACTCAATTGTTGATATGAATCTAATGGCATATTTTTATATATTTGTCTAAGTTTTTGTTTGTACCCCCTCCTTCCCCCTTTCTGGCATGCGCTGTCGGTGACGTTTAAATTATAACTGTCGTAGATCTTTCCGAAAGAAGACGAGAAGTTTTGGCATCGAGGTTTTCTCTGTTGGCTCTGAAACGTGCGTTTGCGTCGTCTACAGGAAGGAAAACAACAACAACAACCTGCTCACAACTCTGTTGATCTCGCCCTGGTTACGTCCTGTATGGAGCTGCTCTCGTTTAGTCACTGTGGGTTCCTCTGTAAATAAATCAGTTCACTGGTGCCCACTTCGTGCCTGTTCTTTCTTTCGGCTGGTGAGGTGTGGCTCTCTTGAGATTGAGATTATTGATTTACTGATTATCTGCCGATTTAAAAACTCATCATATTTGGGTTTCTCCAACCTGGAACGAGGGCTACTATCTGGGTTTCTGATATGATGCTTAGGTGCACCAAACATAGACATGATACCCAGGAACGCATTTATAAGTTGAACGCTAATGTGCCTTAAATGCTCACTTTACCCTAAATCAATTAGTCGATCAACAGCAAATGAATCTGCAATAATTGATTCATTAATTGATCAATCGATTTCTAATTGTTTAAAGGAACAGTGTGTAGCATTTAGGGGGATATATTGACAGAAATAGAATGTAGTAATGATCACCTAAAAATACGAGTTGTGTTGCTACCGCAGAATGAGCCCTTTACATCTTCGGAGCAGGTCCTCTTCATTGTGTTTCTACAGTAGCCCAGAACGAGCACAAATCACTGGCTCTAGATGGGCCAACTTGTTGCCTCTTCATCTCTGACCCTGACATTCCCCCTCTGGTCTTTACAGTAACAATGGATAGTAAATAAATATAAATACAGTGGACTCAGGTCTAATGATGAACTCCTTCAGTCAGCCGCTCTGACCATAACACAGTTACAACGGTGTTTTTTTTTTTTTTTTTTTTTTTTTTATCAGCACACTTCTGTGTCACTCAACTATTCATTTTACTTCAGCCCACTGACCCACAATGTAGTGTATTGTGATATGATAGCCCTGCAGTATATATAGGGGAAGCTGTATGAATGCAGGCCATTCAGGACACACAAATACTAATGTTGCCCCCCCTCATAAACACACACACACACACTGCATCCACACACAGTATTCAAATGATGCATTAAACAGTGAAGATCTGTGTGACGACTGAAAGAGGCAGTAAAGATGGCAGCACAGAGATGCATCTGTGTCACCAGAATGACTGACTGATATTGTGTCATTGACTCGCACTGACTCAGCCCAGTGGAAGAACGTGGGCCCGTGGAAGTCTCCTTCGTTCAGATTTTACAGTACTTAGTGTGTTAGAAAAGGCTCCTTTTTTAAATCTTGCACAGTGCTGTAAGTGTCAAACACATGATCCACTCCTCAGTCACTTATTTCTTTCCCCAGGCTGCTGTGAAGGTCCCCGGTTATCCTCTTAAAAACTGTGTACAGTGAGTTCACACATCTGATCTGTATTAAAGGAGCTGCTTTTGGCCCAACTGCAGGATTAAGACTCCACTCTCAGACAGACACACTCACTCAGTTTGACTACTTTCATTTTTACGTTGAAGTGATGTTCACTCAATAAATATCAACAGTCAGTGTACAATAGTGAGCCATTTTGAAATATCCCAATAGGAAAAGCACATGATAAAGCAAATGATGAGTGAATCCAGTATTGTGCATGCTGGCTCAGTGTCGCACTGTCATGGTGCCTGTGTCTGTTGAAGAGAACAGAGCCATCGTTAATGATATTAGTAACACCTGTGCTTTTCCTGCTATGACAAGGTGCACTGCAATTAATGCCAGACAGGTGCTGGAGGACTGGACATTGATGCAGACACCATCGATAATCACAAACTTTTATTTTAATTTAACAAATTATAAACGTGTAAACCATGTAAAATCTTTCTTACCGTGCAGAGGATCAATTATTTATACAACTATAAGAGTCTTTGAAGATTTTGGAAATGCCTTCAAAACAGTTTTGATAAACATACAAAAAAACAGAGTTTGGAAAAGGGATTTTTTTAAATAAAAACTGCTGGAATGAGATACAAATGAATAGCAATAAAATACTAAAATAAAAATAAAATATTTTATTTGTGGTCATTTAAAGATAATTTATAAAGACTATTTCTCACATAAGTTCGCTTTTTATGTATTTCATATACATTATTTTAGAATATTTTTTTAATTTTGAACGCTTTGGGTTTCCATTTTGGGGCCGTTTATTGGCTCCCCATTATAGGGAGACCTAAAGCCGTTAAGAGCTTCAGCTGCCAGGTTGTGAGCCGCAGTCCTTGATGAGGAAAGACAACGGCCGACAGAGGGGGTTTTACACACACACACACACACACACACACACGGGAGTTTCATCTTGCAGCGGTGACGCACTGTGAGCTCACTTTGCCAGCTCAGTGTTACGTCTTCTTTACACACACACACACACACACACACACACACACACACACACACACACAGAGAGAGAGAGAAGGGGGAACCTCGCGTACCGGCCGGCTTTGTGGTTTTCATCCATCTTCTTTTAAATTACACCTGCCAACTCGGTCCACTACAACCGATGATGCTCGTCTCTGAACACTGATTTCAACTCCTTTTATTCACCAAACCGGTAAGTCCGACAACTTTTTTTGTTGTTGTTACCCTGTAGTAAGAGTCTGAATGGCTGCTCAAGCCGGTAGTTTAGTCGCGTCAGTCATTGCCGCTCGTGTTGGACATTTTTCGCTGCAAAGCCTGTCCGACCGTCATGGCCACTTTTACGCACGTCGGTAATCAGACATATATCTATATTTATGTTCATATGAGTTCATCCAGGCTACGGCACATCATATGGCGCCTACTGATACCTATGCTTTTAGACAAACAGAGTCTCTGCTGCTTGTTTCAAAGGGGGTTATCTCACAAGACAGTAACTATGTTTAATGTCAATGGGTTGCCTGAGCAACCTTTATGGCTGCTCATGTGATTTATCAAAGTAAAGTACACACTAATAGGGTTTTGCTGTGATGTGCGTACTGTGACTTTAGTAGCTTGGATACTTTACCAGCCCCTAGTTTTGGTCATTTAATACATATATATATATTGGTTATACACTGCTATGCAGCAGAATACATTTTTATTCATTCAAAATGGTTATAATAACTAGAACCACTGTTCCTCGTGCTGTCTAATGACGAGTGGGAGCATGCTTTACGCACAAGGGAAGTACGTGATGACCTCACTGGTAGCATGATCCTCCCCCTCTCTTTTTTTAATGAAGTGAACTGAGTCCTGGCTGCGCTGCTTTATTTTCTTGTTGTATACATCTTTATGATGTCATACTGGATATACATCAAGGTCAGTTCAGTTCAACCAAAATTATATTTTGCAAAACTAAAAAGATACCTATTGCCAAAGCATGCTGCATAGAGATGAAGATAGAAGAAGAAACTGTAAAAATGTCACGTTAAAAGTGTACAGCATTGATTTTAACGTCTCTCTCACACACTCTTCTCTGTTTCATTATCTTTAAGTTGTGTCTTATCACCATCACCGTATCACATCATACTGCCGTGGTTTTGGCAGGATGTACCTCTGCAGAATGAGCAGCGAGGGCAGGCTCCCAAAGCACACACACACACACACACTTACACAAGAGCAAAGAAAAGACTGTCATTTTTGACCGAGGGCTTCTTTTGTCTGAGACCAAATTCCTGCACGCTTGTGCCATTAAGAGGCTTTCTCTCACACATCACGATACCAACACACTTCCACCAGAAGAGGGCCATGTACAGTTTCACTGGCTCGTCCCTAATTTCATTTCGATGCAGGGCATTTTAAGGAAGGATTTTTACAAGATATACAATGTTTATTTCCTTCTAGTCATGGCACGCGTCGACTGAGAATTCAATGGACTGTGTCTGTTTTTTTTATAAGTCATATTTTCTTCAAACAACTCCAAAACATTACGGTGGTATCATTATAGTCACTTACTTGAAAATAACTACACAAGAGGCAAAGATGGCCGGATGGAAAGGGAAGAGAGGAGAGAAAAGAGAAGAAGAGACAAAAGGGATGAGGAAAAGAGAGAAAGCTGCAGTGAAGAACATGGAAACAGACAGTAAAAAAGAGAGGTATAGGGGATGATGACAGATAGATCTAAGAGTGTATGTGTGGCAGTTTGGAGGCGATAACAAACGTACATGTAGGGATTATGAGCGTAACTTAACAGGCTCAACTCGAGCGTATGTGCATGTGGAGGTCAGAGACACAGCTTTAATTAGGCCCTCAATCTGTCATCTGTCCGTCCATCAGTCCAAGCAGAGTGGTTGGGAAAGCCTCCAGACAGTCTTTAAGTCCCCGTGCCACAGTGGCCAGGGAAGGGAACTCCGTGCCAAAGAAATTCCCTCTTCGCTGACCGCAGATCCAGATCCATGCTGGCTCAGCCCTCTGCACGGGCAGATTGGTGGAGGATCGGATGATTACAGGTGGACCTGGTCACAAAAAGCTGGAAAGACGTTGGCACGAGCATGCAACCGCTTACATTCACTTACAGTATACATGTACAAAACGCACACCTAAGCTTAGTTATAAGTTATTTCTATTTAATGGAAAAGCAGGATTTGAAGGACAAAAATGCCCCCCTAAAATGTTCTTCAGCCCCCCCAAATAATTTGGCATTATTGGCTAAAAAAAAAAAATTTTTTATTTTGGTGATGTCATTAAATTAAACTATTGTTTCTCACATGGACAAGTTATTTATAACTCTAACATGCTACATATGTGCGTGCGTTCTGGTTTGTATGTTTTCTCCCCGTTCAAATTACAATCCAACAGCCTATCATCATACTGAACGATATAAAGTTGACACTGCCAGGTCCATTCTCCATCCATTGTGTGCGGTCCCTTTAAGAATTAGGATTTGGGAGTGACGTGGATATGAAAGCTAGTTTATCCGTCTTTCCTTTACAAGCAGGAAAATAATTTCTCTCTCTTTATTTGAGAAAAGTGAGAAATATACTGAATGCAAGCAAAACTACAGAGCAAAATCACACTCTTTCTGATTGAACCAATGGATATCCGCGGCCCCAAATGGGGCCCAAAAGAATTTGCGCGCAAACATACTACTCCCCTTGGGGCTAAGCCCCCCCTTTCTTTGAATCCTAGAAACGCCCCTGTTAAGGACATTTACTTTTAAACTGACACACTGTATGTGTATGTGGTTTATCTCTTGAGCAGATGCTCAGTCACATTCCATGAGATTTGGTTCAGTCAGGACAGAAGCAGGCAGCAGTAATCTCGCCCTGCTTGGACCGAGTTCATGGCCTTTCCCCTCCGTCTCCTCCGTATGCCTTCCCGCTCCCCACTGTGCACCGTTTAATGACAGTCTTAAAAATAAGCTTCAAGAAAAGAGGGAAAAGAGACTGCAGACGTTTGCTGCCCCACAGGCCGACTCTGGTGGAGGAAAGATGAATCTGCAGTGCGACCGCAATCTGCTAGCTGAACTCGCCAGTGACCAATCGCTGGCTTTTAGTTGCCAGAACAAATCACACACCAGCGTGTCGATGTCTTTGTGACGAGGCATGAGTGTATGTGTGTGTGTGTGTGTGTGTGTCGTGTTTTGGAGAGAATTCACACACTCCCTCATGTGAGGAGTGCTACAGACACGCCCCGTTTCAAAACCACCGCTGAGTAATGACGATGTAGCCAACAAAGCAGGAAAGTGAACCTCTCATCTGGAGCAGCACTTTTGTAGTCGGGAGTCATTGAGTACAACTCTAAACACAGTATACTTGTATCTATGTATGTATGTATGTGATGTGTGTGAGTGTCCTTTGCATATAGCCGGGGAACCGTTAACCCGATCTACTTCAAACTTGACAGGTATTGATTTGGGACCCAAGGACATGTCAAAGTCAATGTCAAAGTTGGTGCAATTTGGACAAGAGACACTTTCAGTATTGATACACTTTGAATAAACGAGCAAACAGCGCTCTGTGCAGCAGCGGGGGCCGGTCTTCAGGGCTCTGCGGACTGAGTCAAGCATGTTGTCCGTATAGTGGGCCTTTACAGGCCACAGGTGATTGACTGCAGTTCACAATACAAAAGACACGGTTCTTCAAGGTTTACTTCTCCCTGAAAACAGTCAACACTCTCTTTATCACTTCAACTTTCCCTGAGAGCAGGAGACAGGGCGAAGACTTGTTCCTGCGAGCGAAGAGGACATCTATAATTTAGCCTCACATCAAAACAACAAAACAGCTCTTTTCAATGCTCATGAATGCAAGCGCGTTGTATGAATAGCCTACGTACAATCTGTACACACTGGACGAAATGTCTTTCTCTACCTGAGCTCAGGTCCTTATATAATAGACGGCAGATTTTTCCATTGACTCAAATGGTAATTATATAAATCCTCTGTATGTGTTTGGCAAATAGAGATAACATGTTGAAAGTGTTGTTTTCACTCGGCATACGCGTGTTTGTGTGTGTAAATGGGAGTTGTTTTATTATAGGCCTCGTCTGTGTGCTGACTTTTATTAGAGCTGGTACGTGTGTACGGGCTGTGGATTATAATTTAAGGTGTTGTGAACATACGAAGCTGATCTACATCCACCGTTAATGATGCTGGTGATGTATGGGAAAATACCAGACTCAAAGACATCTACTCCCACACTGATTTTTGCATACTGGGGTTGCTCCATGTTCTGCTTTTGTCACCTTGGATTCTTTTTTAGGGTTGTTTTGTAGCCAGTATTGCTTTGTGGTTGGCTTCTGGTCAGTTTAAATGATAGTAAAGTGTCCTTGTCTCCTTGTGAAGAACTTTTGTTCAGTGTCTCCCACATATGTAATTTGACTTTCGGGGGGGATAGACGGATGGACACAGCGGTTGGAAACTAAAAGTGGGGACTGAGCCGACAGCATGAGTGAATTTGTGACATACCACAGGATGTGGCATCTGTTTCTAATGAACAAAAAGAAAGGAAACATTACCAGTGTTTCCTTTGTATCCATATGTAGCCTATATTCATGGTGGCTGTAAACAAGCTAAACATCTTACTGCGTCTGTCTCCCTTGCCTGTTGTTCCTCTGATTCTCTCTCCACTCCCTCTGGTCAATTCAACCTCTCTCGTTCCACCTCAGCGATATCGGACAGGCAGAGACACAAGAGAGGCCCGTTAACTTTCTGCTGGTGTAAAGTTCCACTGGAAAACATGACGACCGAACGTCACCTCAACCCAAGGACAGAGAGGAGGAACGATGGCCACAAAGAGACAGTGAGAGAAACTCATCCACAGGCGTGTGTGGAGTGGCGACACCAGCCCAGTTATCAGACTCGCTCCCTATAATGAGACATTGTCTGAGCACTAACGTAGAAAGTGTTGGCGTAAATCAGCCTTTCATTTGCCGATAATGGGCACCTCCATTAAGTCAAACAGAGGGTATGGTTGTCCCGATCACGTCGTTGTCGTACAAGTGCGCATTATCTCTCGGTCCACGAAATGTCTGATGGATAATGGAGTGTAATTACGGTAAACCTTTTTCTGCCGGCTCAGTTCTTTCCTATTGTATTTCACTACATGGGCTGTTTAGATAAAGAGGAGTTCCCCAAAGCTGGACACGCTACGTGACCTAGTGGGCTTCATAGGTAGCCATTATTGGCATGGGGACTTGGTGGTTGACTTTTCTTTGTCAAGCCTTTCTACTTCATGACGGAGAGGGAAATCAACGTCTTTTGAAATCCATCTGAAAGTGTTTCATCAGCCATTTTTGAAACACCAAAAGAACATTTAGTGTCCTTTTGTAATTTTTTATCAAAGTACACCAATAGGCAATGATGATGAGCATTAATCTGTTTTAATCAAGTCTAAAACAAGGATGTAGTATTCTGGACAAAATCTATATAGCATAATGTCTTTGCCGTGAGATTAGAGCTCTTCAGGAATTAGGACAAACAACCCTGTTATGAGCTTGGTGACTATGCATTTCTGAGATAATCTAATGGGTTTGTAAAGGTTTATGAGCCCAAATCAGGAGGATTTCTCAACCTGCAGAGAAGAAAATAATCTTTTGAGCTTCTCTATCCTCTAACGAGGGATCACCACACCTACTGAGCAAATAACAAAGATATTTAAACTCAGCTAGAAGAAGGTGCTGATTCTGTGCACTGTCATACTAGTCAAATACTTCCAGCACACAGCAAGTCAGTAGTGTTTACTTCTATGTGGCAAAACAACTGTAGACCTGACCTGGTCGGGCTTAACCTGGTCAAAATAAAGCTATGACAGATTGTTATTGTCACTCCCCAACCTCTGCTGTGATAAAGTTAGTGTAAACTCTGTTCGGTGGCACTGACCAAGCTGCATTACTTGAGTTTGGAGTGAGAACAGGTTGGCTGTATTCACATACTACATCTGGGTGGGCTTACTGAACTTTTCTTAGAAGTGAAAGGAAGAGATGCTGTTGTATCATTATAAACTGCGGTGAATGGAGGGATTATGAACTGATGAATAAGCTTATAAAAGACTAAAGCAAGGTGACATTTTTATGCACGGACCAATTGGCGTCTTGTGAGGAGCTACTGGCAGCTACGAGCGTGGCTTAGGTGTGTGTGAGGCGACACAGAGAGGCGACTGTTTGTTGTAAACAATAGAAGTTAACGTTGATCCTGCGACAGCATCAGCTACATCAGAACCGGAGAATATTTCTTCACTTGTCTCGACTCGCTTCGATGAGAGTTCATCTTACAAGTATTGGTAGTTTCCAATGACGGCTTCTCAGATGGTTTCTGTGTAACAAACCATCCGACGGTTCAGGTGAATCAGAACTAGTTCATGGGCAGAGCACTTATTTAACAGCAAGGCACGCTATAAGCGCTAATAACAACAAGAACATGGCGATAAAACAGAGGATTTGCTGAAAAGAATAGAATGAACAAAAGCTGTTTTAAGCACGGCTGTCTTATTACTTACCTTAATACCTTATTGAAGGTAAGCATTTCTCTATGTTTAGAAGCCAATAATGTGGCAGCTCGACCCCACTTCACACTTCATCCCTCCTGCTGCTCAGTCACCTCACACAGGGAGAGGAGTCCCACTCATGCTTGTGTTTCCTCTTTTGTGGTTCCTTCCCTTCGTTCACAGCTTCATCCAGTAGGATTTCTCTGCTCAGCTGCTGCATGACATCAAGGAGCCAGAAAAAGCTCTCCGACACATTAGCTCTGGTCCTTGCCCCAAAAACCACCACAGCATAGAATAGTGTCTGTGTTTTTGTCAAGCCTTTGCCATTACTTCTTTATTATCGCTATTTTTAGCTCTCCTGAACAAAACAGAAGATGTGACTGGTCATCTGATGTTGTCGCGACTTGTTATTTGAATGTGTCAAACAACAGCACCAAGGCTTTTGGGTAATTACTGTTTTACAGTTGTGGAACAGTCGTCACGCTCTTCTCCCTTTCCTTTGAGGTGTTTTACATTTTTTTATCCTGTTTGGTTGTTTTCACATAAAATGACGAAGGTTGTTGGTGTCTTTTGGATTCTTTGTTGTGTACGATGGGATATTCTGAGAGGTGTTAATATCCTGTTATATTCTGCTCTTCTTGTTTTCCCTCCCTTTGTTTCTGTTCTTTTGTTTTGTCTCTCGCTCTTTCCTTCTGTCTCGCTCTACTACTTCTACCCACACATTAATCTGACTGCAGCCTCCAAACCGAAGGATTTGACAGCGCAAGTGCTGAGAGAGGTCGAAAGAGTTGAAGTCAAAAAAAAAGTGTGAGTTCAGGGACGTGAGACACGAAAGTTCCGGCAAGCAGACAAAAGAACTCCAGTTTCCAAGACAAGGATTGTTCTTTTCGTTGATGAGTGTTGATGTGTGTTGAAAGATGTGTTAGGTCCAATGTCGACCACACTATACGTTAACAATCGCCTGTTCCATTATAAAACACATCCAAGCCACAACACAATACCATTACGTAACATCACTCGCACTAGATAAAGATTTAGTGCCATAAATAGCCATGAGCTCAGACAAAAGGCCTTGCAGACATTTCCAGTTAGGGAATGATGAAATTGAATTAAGAGATGCTGTTGTAAAACTATGCGGAATGGAGGGATTGAAAACTGATGAATTAGGAGAAATTTTGGAAACAGAGTTATTCACTCTCTTGGTGATTTTACGGGAGTTTATGTTTGGGGCTATTTATTGAGCTAAAGTGTCTGATTTTGTTACCTTTGGACAGAACGAAGCTTGCTCTTTCCCCGCTTCCAGTCTTCATCCTAAGCTAAGCTAACTGGCCTCTGGCTGCAGCTTCATATGAGTGGTGCACAATCTTCACATCTAACAATAAAACGTGTTTTCCAAAATGTGGAACTTATTCCTTTAAAAAGACGAATGTCGAATTCTGCACCGCTGTTTGTCCGAGCGGCACTTTGTCACAGACGGACTTGGTGGAAGAGAAGGATGGGTGTTTGAATGCGGACAAGGCCACGTGGGGACACAGGGGTGGTCATGTGCCATGTAGGTCCAGTGGTAGTTCCACGTGTGGCGGTCACTTCTGTAGTGGGTTTTTGGGCAAAACCTCAGACAAATTGGATTTAAATCCAATCACACGCAGACAATACTGGCTTGGAACGGCTGGCTGTGATTGGCTAGCTTCTGAGGACAGTGGTCAGGGAGCTGGCACGTTTAAACATCCTTTTTTGGACCTGCTTTCACATGCATTTTGTATTTCAAACATTTCACTGCATGTGTTGCTCTTGCATGAAATGACTGCTTTTATCTGTGGATTGCAAACACTGGAAATGGTTAGCAAACTGCTGGTCTACTTTTTGTTTTTCAACGAAATATGTTTGCATTAGCTGGAATCCAGTAAGGGAAGACTTTTTAATGGTACATAATGGAAGAATGACTCTTTTTGGGGCACAGTTTTGCTTTTGTGTCCCATACTGGAATGTACAAGCCTTTTCAAACTGGTCAATTGTGAAGTCAATTGTGAAGTCAGCGTGCTGTATGATACTGATTTCGGATTGCATGCACAAATCAGTTTCACCTTGCTCTGCTGGACCGTTTCAGTCACTGCACTTCTGGAGGTCAAGGGAGATCCTCTGGGGAAAACATTCCTCTCCCATTCGAACCCCGTCCAAGTTGTTACTTGACACTTTCCAAAAACAGAGGTATTTTTGTTTTGCTCTCTCTATCATTGTCGTTTTTATTGATCATTTTTTCATTTTTTTCCGGTTGTGTGTGTGTTTGCATAAGTGCATAATTATGAGCGCGTGTTATGACATGTAATTAGCCTCTTGCTCTGGTCTGTATGGCATTTTAATAAATGCTTCTATATATACCGTATCATGCTATCTGGCAGAAATGTAAAAACAATTTAGCACTCCCTACTACTTTCTCCTCTTTCTGTCCCTCTCTCTCGTCTCCCCTACAGCTCTGTCGGTCCCTCAGTCACTCAAGTTGTTTTTTCAAACTAGTGCTTTTTTCTGTCCTCGCTTTATCTGTCTCCTGCTCCCTCAAATTATGCTTCAGTAGCCTGTCATTGGCATGAGGGCCTTGCTGTACCAAAATCATAAACTAGTTAATTTCTTTCTATTTTCTTGTTCGTATAAGGCACAGCTTGGTGTTGGCTGGATGTTATGGCATTCCAGATGTGTGTGTGTGTGCGTGTGTGTGTGTGTGGACATATGTTTGTATGTGTGTCACCTGCATGAACAAGAATAAATTAGTTCGCAAATAATGTGTAAAAAAGTATGTTAAGGCATATCACCACACCCTTACTGCACACATATACTAGTGACATGCTGCATAGGTGCATGCGCGGTGTGTCTTTACACATAGAAAGAGAATAAATGGGTTTGAGTGGAAAAGCGTTGATTTCTTGCTAACTAATGTTTAAAACATTATGTTTTGCTGCGCGGTCAAGAGGCGCATTAAGGTGGCCTCACCCTTCAGGCACACTTATGACACACACACACACACACACACACACACACACACACACACACGCTGTTTTAGCTGTGATAGAAGGGGCATGTCCCAAGGATGTCAGGGGTGTGTCTGTGGTCAGAGTGACAGTATAAGACACAGGCAGGTACATTGAACCTTCCATTCAGCTACACTCGACTTGAGATTTGTGTGACTTCTCAAGTTGCATTTTAGTGTGAATTCTGTCTCACATTCTGAACTTTATGTAATTTCAGATTTTCTAGCTTAATTTTGTAGCTGTGAAGTCCAGTAGAACATTTTGCGAGTGTCCAAGTGGCACCAAATAGGACTTTTAACCAAGTGCTTGTCAAGACAGCTGTAAGAAAGTTAGATTTGAGTTTGGCGCTGACTCAGCATTTCTAGCAACATACACAGCATCCTAGTTGAGTTGCCAAGGCAACTGTGCCAATCAGCTGCAAGTCTGGGGTAAGCATGCTGCTCCGTCTTTCTCCGCTCTTTACCATTTTCTTCTTCTCTCTCCTATTCTCACGTTCTTTATCTCAGGCCTGAGCCAAAATGGCCGTTTCCATCGTTGTCTGTTCTTTTCTCCTATCTTCTCTTTTGTTTGATATATTCTAAATGCTTCTTATGTTTTCATTTTGGTCAGTGGCTATTTTAATATGTAGTTATCTTACAAGCCTGTTTGGGTCCAACCAGTCCATCAGCTACATTTTCGCCTCTCTGATAATACTGCTCTTGGGTGAATTCAGTCTTATTTTGGTAGTTGCTTTATCAATAAGATGTTGTAGGGCACACGTTGGATGAAGTGATTGGCACAGCATTTTGACAAATTGTTATAACAAGTTTTTCTTAGGATTCTAGATTGTCAGTCTTGGAAATGCATATATTTCCTTAATTTATTCTTGGGTGTATATGATGTGTCACACTCTAGACCTGTTACCAGTTGTTCAGTGGACTGAGTCAAGCTAATCTGGAGTTTAAGTTTAGATTCAGAACGGCTTGTAGGAATAATTATTCAGAGACACTTCAGCACATTTGCTGTCACAGAAATTGAATCCTAATCTTCCGCATGTTGGGTGGCCACCCTGCTGACAGCTCTGCTGCCTTTTTAATGTAACAAAATATATGTTGACACTACATGATTTAGGCACGTTGCATTAAGCAGTGAAGTCTCAAACGTGAAGGTGAGCCAGTGTAAGTGTCTCATTGATAGGTGACCTCAGGTTAGATTTCATCTTTGTCCATGAAGTTATATAGAAGCATCAGTTAAAGGGCAGTAATATATATCTTGCCGAACACTTTCTGTGTGAATAATGTTTATGTATGCGGGCACTATAGGGATTTCTAACTTTAGAGATGACAACATTGCTTTGCTGTAATATAATCTGACTCATATAAGAGTTTTTCCTTAGATTTATTTCCAATAACACTGCAAAATAAGGCAATACAATCATCCTCATCACTATGTGTTTGTAATCTCTATCACGATATCACTTAGTTTTGATGACATTAATAAATAAAAATAATTGGGTTTTTCTGACTTACCTAAATGTCCATATAGACTCATCCCAGGGGCAGCATGTCAAGCATTGAGAAAGTCAGTATGAGTTGGCAAATTAATATGTTTATCATGAATAATTTCATTAAATGTGTATGCGAGTGCCTACTGCCCTGAAATAGCCACAGAAAAGCCCTGGTTCATTCACTCCTGTCCATAAATAAACCTGATTCATGTTAAATGTTATTTACAGCATTTACAGCAGCTCCTTACCTCCCTGCCACTCGAGTCACTCCACTCTGAATGAGTCGCAAAAAATGACTCAGGTGTTTTTGTCAGCGTGCGTGTGGTATAGTGTGAGTGTGCATGCTTATGTACTGTGTGTGTCCGTGTCACAGGAGTGTTGTAATGTCATCTATTTTGTCGTGTTGTGATATGTTGTGTTGTTATCCTTACTGGACTAGAACATATTCCTATACACTTAGGAGGTCAATAAATGATGTTGAAAAAAGAGCACAGTTGTGTTTGACTGAGGTGACAAGTTTTATTTTTATAATGCACTTTAAAACCCATGTTTATACGAACCGGACCATGTTTTACAATGGAATGTTCCTGTCATCTCTCTCCTTTAGATCATATGAACATAGTAGAATACATTGAAGAAGATGAGGAACCACCTTTATTGCTCAGCTCTCGTCCTTCTCACGGTAAATACGTGCACGCGTGTGTTTATGCAAAACAAAGAAAGGTTGTGTTCCTTATAGACCAGGTGGCATGTATGCTTCATGATTTAGTAAGTGCGTGCACTCAGTTTTACCGCGAACCTCGGCCGACTCATGAGCATGTGTGTGCATGTGCCTTCCAGGTGTTCGGCTGTGGTGGGACTGCAGCAGTGCAGTGTCGGCGGGGGGAAGGATGTGTGTGTCTGCACTGCCCTGCTGGCCAGGAGCCTTCCAAGGTAAGAGTACAAACCGAAACCAAATTATTCACTCATTCATTCAACAACCCGACTCGCTTTGAGAGACATTTTTAGTCCAACATGTCTCTGCTGTTAACATATCTGTTGCTATCAAGTGATTTATTGTTCAGTAAAGCAATAAGTATAGAGAGTGCAAATGAATTGTGTCATGTAAGCAACAGCCACATTTTGAATGTGTGTATGGATTGTTATTTGCAATATATATGTATGTAGTTATCTGCATCCATAAACATGTATGACATTGCATTATAATCAAAAGTTGTTTTTTTTGTCAAGGTGTGTCATGTTTCTCTATTTTTGCAGGTTGTATTTATGAAGTTTTGGTAGATCACATACTGTTACTGACACAACAATCACTTGGATACCTGTATTTACCTTTTTTGAATAGTCCATGAAGCTATGTATGTGAAAGTATAAAGATGTCTTGTTTCGATTCCAGTTAACACAGAGACTCTTAACACTCTGACAGCTCCAGAGAGATGCTTCATTTTGCTTGAGTTTAGAAGTGTTTTCTGTCTTGCCAGGCTTGTGGGCAGATCCAAAGGCCAACAGAGGAAGTGCTATGTCAGTTGTGCCCATCTGGAAGCTTTTCAGACACACTGGACTCTGAGCTTTGCCGCCCACGTGCATCCTGCAAGATCCTCGGCCGTAAGGTTGCAACCCCTGGCACTGGGACCTCCGATGCTGTCTGTGGGGACTGCCTGCCTGGGTAAGACCTACCTGTCTGCTTGTTAATCCACCCACGATTAAATGAAACTGTTGGCTTGACATTGAAAGTGCTTTGCTCGAACATGCACGTTGTAAACTTTTATTTGTTCTAAATGAAAAAAAATCTGGGGGTTTGCTGTGTCGACAAAACAAGGAGACACACACAAACAAACACGCATTCACCACAATGGGCAGGCAACATCAAGCACAACAGGACACAAAATGCCACAGTCTAAAACCGCTGATTCATTCTTTAATTGTAGAATGGTCCTCCTCTTTCTTTTTCTCTCTCTGTCCATCTCTCTAATTATGCTTTTTTTCTCTCCTTTTTCTTTTTCCATTTGCAGGTTTCACTCCACTGCCACAGGGGAAGTTTCCACCCAAAGTCTGTGTGTGAAAAGTAAGCAGGATCCTGCAGCATCTGTCTGAAAATGTGTTTTCAAACTTCCCATGCTGCCGGTCCATCATTCATTTCACAATCATCATTTGTTCTTCATGTAGCTAAGACCATGCTTTTTCTGTATCTTTTTTCTCCTTTCTCTCAGCAGCTCTGCGTGTCCGAGCGGTGCGTACAGTGGGTAAAGGTCCATCGAGCGGTGCAGGGGGGCCGGTCAATGGCACAGTGGTACGAAGCGCTGAGGAGAAGACGGCAGAGTACGCCGTGTTCGCTTTGGTGCCCATCTTCTGCGTAATGGGCCTGTTGGGTATCCTCATCTGCAACATCCTGAAGAAGAAGGGATACCGCTGCAGTGCTGACAAAGAGGGAGGAAATGAAGAAATTGCCACACCGCAGAAAGAAGGTGAGAGAGATCAAATGACAGGACATGGAAATATAAGGAAGAAAATAAAAGTTAGAAAAAATAGCAAAAAGATAGAAAGTAGCAGAGAGAGTGATTACTGACACTATGATTTATGTTCAGGTTGTTGTCACGTTCGCCCATAAAAATGCCAAATTAGCACAAACGCATGCACACGATGTGGTTTAGTGTTGTCAGGAGTCCGGGCAAATCCAAGCCAAGGCCAAAGGGCAGTGTCTTTTGTGTGCAGTCACAGTCCATGTATCTCTGTGACGTGACTGCACGCAGGTCTACATGGGAGGCTTTCTCTTTTCCTCTTTGAACTTTGACCTTGCAGGGTTCATGACATGGCAAGCATGCATGTGTTTTTCTAAGCATGCACTGCTGTCCTTGTAATTTTCCAATCTGAAAAGGGGAAGAAAAAAAAAAAGCATTCCCATCAACTCACTCACCCTACTGACGTCAGAGAGAAACAAACTTGGGTAAACACAGAAAGAAGTATGAAGAGGAGCGGGGGAGGGCAGACGAAGAAGAGATACTGAAGGATGAGGGTGGTATTAACCGAAAGAGTGACTAGTATCACTACATGGAAATCTTAAGAGAGTGGAGAGAGAGAAAGAGAGACACACAGGGATCAAGCGATTAAACAAGTGTTACATTACACTCCTGCTCTAACTGGTTTGCTCAGGCTCAGAGTAACGTGAGAGGTCTTTATGCCTGTCCTTTGTAAAAGTGTAAAGTCATGTAGTACTGGAGGCTCTTCATAGACCTGGAGTACCTCAGTCTTCGACCCAAATGGAACTCTTTGCTTGTGAGGTGTAATCTTGATATCAAAGCTGACACCATGGATACTTTTTGTATAGACCTGCATTGCTGTGCACACAATGTCAGAAGTACACCCATATTTCCTTTAAGTGTCTATTGCACGTGATGTAGGACTTTACCTGTGTGGTTCTCAGGCTTGATTACAAGGTAAAACCCTCAAGTCACATGGCGTACGTCATCTACTGTAGCATTGCTCGGAGCAGCCTTTTTTTAGTGAAGGGTTCCTGGTATGTTTCCACGTAGATCATTTGACATTTGTGATAAACCGTCTGCTGTGAGGAGTTTCATTTACGGTTGCACAAACTCAAAATGTGTGTCAGAGGGAGTTCATTCAATTTAGCAAACATTGCAAACTATTGCGTTCACTTGGTTGCTCATGCAAAAATTAGACACAGTGTAAAGCAATGGTTCATTTGGGAAATATAGTTATTTGCTATCCTGCAGAAAGTAAGATTAGATGGATACCTCTTTCATCTGTTCATTACACATGCAGCTACAGCCAGCTGCCGGTTAGCTTAGCTTACACAAAGATTGGATACAGGAGGAAACAGCTAGCCTAACTCTGTCCGTTACAAAATTACAAAAGCTGCCGAACATAACCTCTGAAGCTCGCTTTTTAACATGTTAAACAATAAATTGACATTTCCACACCTTGGTTCTTGTACAAATTAAACAAATAAGACATTACGTTTTAATTAGTGAGCTTTAGAGGTGCTGGTTGGTGGATTTTGCATTGGTCAGAGCCAGGATAATATTATCTGTTTCCCCGTGCTTTATTGTTTATGCTAAGCTAACCGCCTGCTGGATGTAACTTCATATTTAGCAGACAGATGTAAGATAAGATATACTTTATTGTCCCGTAGGGAAATTTGTCTTTGACTCCAATCCACATGCACGCATAGAACATAGATACAGTCATGCATGAACATGCTTAAATACACATGTTGAAAGTAATATCAATCGTCCCATCTTACTCTCGGTAATAAAGCACATAAGTGTATTCCTTTGAACAACCATTGCCTTGCAAAGGCTACATGAAGAGCTCATCAAGCTAAACAATGAATAAACTACACTTTAATATGTTATTTTCCTTACTATTGTGCTAGTGTCTATCAGTTACTGTCATTACATGTGTAAGCATTTAAACAGATTGAAAGGCTAAACCGGCTTTTCCCTCAATCCCCTGATGGTGGGAGGCTCAGAGGAAAGTTGTGTGTCAGCCAAGTCGCCATACGTTGTGCCAGGCATCAGGAGCTTCAGAGCACAGCTGCCACCCTCAACAGATCAGACTTTCTGTCAGCACGTCCCACATCAAGATACTGTTTGCGCTTGCACAACACCTGCTGCTTTGGATAACGTACTGTATCCCATCATTAGGATCAAAGAGTTTAGTTAACCGATGTTTTTCACAGATGCCAATATCAAAAGATGCTTTACTTGGATTTTGTTTTATCTCTGTGTGACTGAACCTGCTTCTTCTTTATACAGTTACACATACTCACACGTGATGGTTTCTTGATACAATGAGCGAAGCGAGGACATCCACGGTAGTTTGCCAGCTCATTGTTGTGGATTGCAGGGAGGACGTTGCTCTTTTGTTTCAGTTCCTAGGTTTTTATAGCTTCCGTTACCTAACATTTCAGCGAAAACCACCAAAGTAATTTGTATCTTTCATGGTACAAAGATGACAGTTGTGAAGCTGTGATTTCAGGCCTCCGCGAGGACAGACGGAGGTCATACGAACGGTCTGTCTGTCAAAGATCTCTGCCTTCTGTTTGCGGCTTTGCTTTGGTCTCTTCCTCTCCGAGCACTTTGTTGTGAAAGTTAAGACATCTAGAAACTCCCTAGCACCCATTCCCCCTCAGTTCTCTTTATCTGTCCTCGTACTCTCCATTCAGCCGATGTCTTGGCTCCTAACATCCCCTCCCCCACTCATGAACACGACACTATCCACTCATCTCTCCTTTCCCAGCCAGATCAATAATTAAATCGGGTCCTCATCTCCTGGTTTATGTCTCTTCTTTCCTTCTCCTCTCTCCTCGCCTTATTTCTATCTGTGATGTTCGTCTTCCTTCCTCTTCTTATATCCCCTTTTTTTTGTCAATTTCTAGAGCTTTTCAGGGTCTTCCATGATAGAAATGGCATTCTATTGAAGCTGACTATGTGTTCCATATATGAAACCCCTTTGTTGTTAGTTTGACTGAATTATTGATTGATTCAAAATGAATGATTTTAATTTAGGATATTATGCAGATAACAATATCATTATGACTTTTCATTACTTTGAATACTCTCAATTTCAGCCTTTATAAGTTAAAAGAAAGATGAAATCTACGTTTTAACGTGTCACAAACATGCAATGTTAAGACCTCCTTCACTCTCAGCTCCCCTCTTTCTCTCCTCCTGCGCAGCTTTGAGGACAGATGATGCAGTGGTGCAGTAATAAGCAAGTCTGCATGTGTGAGTGAGACAGATAAAGGACGAGAGAGGGGAGCTTAAGCAAAGTAAAGTTAGTAAATACAACAGAACGTGAGTAATATAAGGAAATAAAAAAACAGAAGAATAAAAGGATGATCAGAGGGCAACAGGTGGTTTTGGATGCTGCATGGGAAAAATGTACCTCTCTCCGTCTTCCCCTCGGTCGTTGTTATGTAACTATCCTTGCAGTGTGCTGTCTGTCTGTCTGTCTGTCTGTCTGTCCACCTGCAGTAGTCCCGACTGGGCAAGCGTTAGACCTAAACGTCTTACTCCAGCACTTTTTTTCATCGTCTCCGCTCAGGGGGAACACCCTTGGGCATGAATTACAACGAGGCCAAGCTTAAGTCTACAGGGCTGAAATCAGACTGCAGCGGTAACTCTGAACACGCAGAGCTGCAGACAGAGAAGAGTTTGACTTATGGGAGAGTGCAGTGACAGGGAAGCTGAAGGTGCAGAAAGAGAAAAATGTTGTGAGCCAAAACTGCAACTTCGTGATGACTCATCCTGCTCAGCCACAAGGGCAGAGGGAAAAGTAGAGTTTAGTTGCCGCAGCTTTTCAGTTTCAGCCATGTTAGCGCTACGGGACTACAGCATTTAAAACGACTGGTGACTTAATGTGGCTGACACTGAAACACTGAACACATGGGTCTGACTGAATAGAAGAGAACGAGTGCCACACTGTGAAATGGATGCCGTTGTCCTCGCATAGCAACAGCCACTGTGGCGACACAGCTATTGTTATAACCTAACAACAGCCTGTGACTGCTTATGCAAGAAGACACATAGACGCAAACGTGACAAGTGCAACACTCACATTTTGCTCTGTAACACACAACTACTGTACACACAGTCACCTGGGGGTCTGGTATACACACACACACACACACACACACACACACACACAGACAGATAGAGCCCTGTGTGCTTCAACATTGCTGAATGGAGTGTGATCGCTGAGTGAGCTATTCTGGACCTCTCCCTGTGCCCTTCATTGCTCTCCTCTCAGCTGCCTCACTGTGCTGTGCTATTATGGGATGTTCGGAAGGTGTTGCCATGGAGGCACATCTATTCTTTTCCGTTCACTCATCCACTTCCATCTTTATCAATCCCATCGTGTGTGCGCTGTGTGAACTTTGCTCATTCTGTCTCACTCTGTTACGATGGTAGTTTAAAGCAAATCCATCTGTTGATTGTGTTAATTCTATCTTAACATATAATAGCCCTAACAGGAGGAACATGAGTACATTGAAATATATACAAAAATATAAGTTTATATATTCAGGTTCATATTAGAGTGTGTTTCCCCCGAATATCCGACACTGTTTGGATCTCTGGGAAGTGAGATCCAAAAACACACCTGCAATTATTGCCATAGAGAACAAAACTGAGATTTTAGAGATCGTAACTTGAACTCAAGGAGCGCTTACTAGCTTTTTTGCAGGATTTTAACTGCATCTCACGTTCCTCATCACCAGATAGAGTTCTCTCAGCTGTCATCATGTGACCTAAATATGGTCTTCAGGCATTTATGTTGACTCTCTAATATGGAAAATATCATATCCTTTGTTCAATGCACGCACACGTTTTCAATACATATTACGATTAATTAACTTGTTAATACATTACATTACAGTCATTTAGGAGACGCTTTTATCCAAAGCGACTTACAATTCAGATACTATGTACACTGCAGGCACAGCTACGGGAGCAATTTTGGGGTTAAGTGTCTTGCTCAACGACACATCGACATGCGACTAGCAGAGCCGGGGGATCAAACCGCCGATCCTCTGATTGAAGGACGACCCCCACTTTCCACTTAGCCAGAGTCGCCCCCCACTTGATAATGTAATATTTGCATATGGCGTTTTTTTTTGTATTTGTGTTATATGTATATATGTCATTATGTGTGTCAATATACTAAAATGCAATATACATCGTCTTTCTGCATGCTTTAGGTAACAACTGTCCCTACATATCTGACGATCTGAATGAAGACACCATCAGTATTCTGGTTCGCCTCATCACTGAGAAGAAAGGTAGGTGTTGACCAGCAGTGACATAACTCACGGGCTAGTGGTCAGAGTCATTTCATCTCTGGTGGCTTTAGAGGGCAACACAGTGTCACCAAAGTACGTCACAGACAAGTTTCCACTGCTGCAAGCTCAGACTGGCTGCTCCTTATCTCCGACATTTGTTGTTTTTGAAAGGGAATACAAAGTTTTTCCTTTCGAGTGAAAAGTAGAACAAACTGTGAGTGAAGATAATGTATTTTGAACTTTTCCCAGGGAAGTTGTGTTTTCGCCCAATAAGCAAAAATTTACGGAAATGGTCTAAATGGTCTAAATCCACATCCCAGCAGACAAGTCTGATTATTCTTATTTACGGAATTGACTGGCACTGTCGGATTATTGAGTCTCATCTGAATTTTTGTGTGCGTTTCAGAAAATGCTGCTGCACTGGAGGAATTGCTGCTGGAGTACGAGAGCAAACAGATGGCCATGAGGAAAGCCTCGTCAATCAAGTATGAGACCACGCACCCACTTAATATCCGATATATGCTGTATACCTTCGAGGTATACTTTTGCTCATTCATGCTGCTCCATAACGAGCTGAATACAGAGGCAAGGGAAGAGTGGGAGAGAGCAGGGCAGGGGACATTTTGGAAGGAGGCTCCTGACAAGAGGCTCTAATAACCAAATCAATGTCCTCAATGTGTGTGTGTGTGTGTGTGTGTGTGTGTGTGTATGAGTGTGTGTTTGTGTTTATGGCAGGATGTTCAGGCAGAGAAGGAGAGAAAACCTTACCAAAAGTTACAGAAAGTTGCTCTTCAGAGATTTAAGCAAAACACTGAATAATGATATAAACCTATACATTCATAGTTTTAATGTCATTCTAAAAGAAAATATTATGACTTGGCTCAAGCTCCCAGTAGAGCCACTTGATATATAACTTTGGAAAATGTTCCTTTGCAAACAGGTTTTTATATCTTTGTATATCTCTGGTTATGTCTATAGCACATTTTAATAATACAATGCCAACTGCAATTTATTCTTTTTTGTATTTTTTATTTTTTTTTACAAAGAAAGAAAGAAAGTACTCTCATAAGCATAGTTTACATTTCCTCAGTGCAGCTCTGGCGTGGGCTGATACTTTGGCAGTGACTCACTCCCGCATGTCTGAAGAGAATGTCTGACACAATTGTAACCGCTGTCTCATGAGTCATGAGGCTTAAACAGCCAGCCTGGCACTAAGATCATTAGCTGTCACATAGCTTGAAGTCACACAGTTTACATGACCAAACGTAGTTGTGGTTGGACCTTTGGTTGTAATGTGCGGCCATTAAAAGTGCTCAAGAAGTCAGAAGTTAATCTAACAAATCCAGCAACATGCTGCTCCATACCACAGTCTACACCACTGTGTTTTCCTTAATCCCTCTAACAACACCATATAGATGGTAATTTGATCCATTACACTCCAGTATGTACGTATGCCGCATCTACAATAGTCAGAGGTCTCAGGGTCAGTGTGCTGCTGTAACATGTGAGCTTTAGATTCGAGAATATTCTGACACACACACATAATATTCACACCGAAATCTGGAAAGCTTTCAGATCCTGTGTGTGTGTGTGTGTGTGTGTGTGTGTGTGTGTGTGTGTGTGTGGTGGGAGGTTCTGCAGGGGTCACTACTGGTCATACTAGTACAACACAGGGACACACAGCTGCATTCACCTCTTTTGCTCTGCTTTTCTCTGCACAAAAGAACAATGGAAAGGCAAACACTAAAGAGGCCTGGGTGCAAAGAGATACAACTTTAGATTTCAATTATTCATTTATTTTCTATTTAAACACTCACACTGAACAAAGGCAGAGATGAAAGTAATGTTTGAATATTCTTTGGAGCTTTTCTCACTTAAAATACTCACTTATCTTAGCGTTATGCTTTATTACTTAGCAACACAAAAAACACTAATAAAGACTAATACATTGACCTCCAATCCTTTCTGGCCTCATCCCTCCCTCCTACATCAGCTTGGCTCTCCTCCATCTTCAATATGTAATAAACTATTCTAAACCCATACCTTTATTAACATGGTCTTTGTTAGTGAAATAAGAGGGAAAGTGTGTGTCTTTTTGTGCATGTGTGCAGAAAATATAGGTGATTTAAAATGTTTATTATGCTGTACACTGAATGGACATGGAAAGAAATGTTGTCAATTCAATGTTTAAATTTCACTCAAATATCAATGACGTTTACTGACATGGCAACCACCTTTTAAAGGTTGGTTTGAGTTCAATATTTTAATTTAGGGATATTTGTCTTGACTAAATTAAATATACAAATGCCTGATTTAAAAAAATAATTAATGTAACTGATCATTTGTTCACTCCCTCCTCATCCTCTCCTGCCCTTCCTCCCAGGTTCCCGATGCTGTCTCCTCTGTCCCCTTTCCGCTCCCTCCCCAGGCTGTGCCCCCATCAGTCCCACCTCCACACCATCTCTGGCCTCTCCGGCCTGGCACCCAAACACGGCTACCGCTGCACCCGCTGCGCTCAGAAGAAATGGCCCCCTGTCCTCATACCTCCCCTGGATTCTCTCAGAGATCCCCTGAAGGCTCCCCAGAGCCTGATCCTGCCCTTACTGGACAGAGCCAACGACCAGCAGAAGAGGCCCCTGCTGGGGGGTTTGTTTGTCGACACCCACCACACACAAGCTGTTGTGCCAAATACTGTAGAGAAGGAGGGAGAGCTGACAGTGTTATCTGTGGGGAGGTGAGACACGTCCATATTGCTTCATACCCAACACACATCTGACATGACAAACGAGGGCATGCAATGCAAATATTTTGTTACTTTTTCTGCTGCTTTTTACTGCAGCTCCACTACTTTTTACTGCATTTATTCAAGAGCTAGTTATTAAATAGTTTGTAGATATAAATTTCACCCACACAAGATATGAGAATTTGATCAAATATGATGCATTGTTGTAGATTTAAGTGTAGAAATTACTTAAATTATCCCCTGCTCAATCAAATTCAATCAGCTATTAATTCAGTATTAGTAGTTGTAATAATACAATGATAAATGATGTAATACTTCAGCTCTGACAGGGGCCATTCTGTTGCATGATTAGTACTTTTACTTTCTATACTTCATGTACAATCTTCAGATATCACTTCTATACTTTCACCTCTAAATGCAGGACTTTTGATTTTAATGGTGTATTATTACACTGCATGCTACTTTTACTTAATCTACTTTCTTAACCGACATAACTAAATATTTCTTCGACTACTGACACATTCACAGTCATTTGACCACAATCCAGTTGAGTTACAGAAAGGCTTAAACCATCTGTAAACTGTACAAATAGTTTTAATGTAACATGTTCAGACCTACAGTACAATATGTAAATAACCCTCAAAGATGATTAAACACTGTAGAAAGAGTAATCAACCTCACACACTCTCAAGCAGCTTCCAAACCTGTAAGAAAATGTGTGTTTTGTCATAAGTACCCTGATTGCCATGAATGTAATTGTGATCATATCTTGACTGCCAGGTTTCAAGTGGCTCAGATCCCCGAGCAGAAGCCTGTCACGGTGGAAACCAAGACATCATCCCAGGAGCAACGCAACTCCCTGTTTGGAGGGAAACCGTTCTGCTCGTCTTCCTCATCTGGCATCAGGAGGTACAACCTGCAACACAACATTTTGCAGCTTCCCCCTCTCGCTTTATTTTTGCTTCCATCCCGTCACTCGCTGTAATCACCTCTCTCCTCCCCATTTCTTTCTATTTCTGCACTTGGTTTTTCAAAGTTAAAGCTCACATTCTTCTGGCCAGCACTGAATTATGTGGTCTGTTTCACTGGGAAAGGGTGTTATACAGAGTATGATCAGTTAATCAGAGGAGTGTCTCTAAAATGATTTGGGGAATGAGCTTCTTCTTCTTCTCTGTTGGATCTAACTATCTGTTTCATTCCTTCTTCCATTCTGTCCTTCGTGTCCTCATCCTGCCACATCCTTGACATTTTGACTCTCTCGTTCAGGTGAAGAGACAGAGAGACGGTGTATTATACCGCTACCTTGCTGAATACGACCTCATCATTCACTGACAACTTGACAGCTGGCAAGGAGGGAGTTTCTCGACCATGAAACCACAAGGACCACCTCGTGCTGGAGGAAGTTGTTTCTATTCGCGCAAAGAGAGGAATATAACTGTATTTATTATCACATAAAAACGATATTGTACTTTACAGATGTAACATCGTAGAAGTTCCACTCCAATCACAGCTGCTTCACTGTCACAGAGAAAGTAAAGAGTATAGCTTTGTGATAAAAGATTGTCAACGTCTGACAGAGGGAGGCAGAAAGCCCCTATATTTGTGCTTCCATGTAAAAAAAATACAGACACAGGGGTAAAACACACATAGGTGAACACATACTCAAATAACTAAAACTGCTCAATCAGCAGTGAGACTGAAACAAAATGAGGAAATGTCAAACCAAGTTGTGATCAAGTGCCATATGAACTAAGAGTATCAAAGATTTCCTTACCAGACAGAGCAAAGCTGGTGTGGCTGAAATAATAATAACCTATATGATTATGGCCATAAGACACTTAATTAAAGTACAGCACTACTACAGTAAGTATTAGAAGCACAAAATGTTATAACATTCCATATCATTTTGTTGTTATAAATATCTTTTTATTTGAAGTTATCCAGCATCACGTTTCTTCTCACATTCGCAGGTGAGTCGAGGTTTTAGACCGTGAATATGTTGAATGTAGTCTTAACAGTTCAGTGAACCTTTTGAGAGTGTGAGAAACATTCACTCAGCGATGTGCACCTATCCACAGTCAGCATTAATAATAATATTTGCAACCTTTAAGCTATTAGACTATAGGTCCAAGAAGGTTGAGATGCGTTCCCAAAACTGTATCACAACATATTTTGTACAACACTGCATCCCAATGGCAGTTAAAGGCTGCAACTGTCGTTTGGGTCCTGGCGTGAAGAAGTTCGATGGGTAGATATCACTTTTGTAGAATAGACCATGTAAATGAATGTACATATGTAAATATGGGTGGGTATAGAAAAACGGTTCTGGCTTTTATAATTTTAGCATACAGTTTGTGTGAGGTGAAAGACAACAGCACTGCACCAATAAGTGACACTTGTAGTCCATCAATAAAAACAAAAACCTAAACTCCATCATGAATATAAGCGGATTCTGGTTAAACATCTGTGTCTTGTTTATAAACCTAAACACACACACGCAGTACACATATCCAGACTCCAGTTATGTAATCTCCATAACTGTAAGGAGCCACTCCCACATACACACACACGCACATTTTTAGTTTTTACAGTTTAATTAAATAAACCAGTGGCTGCAGTAGACTAGTGGCTGGGATGCCTCAAAGTCATGCAGCTCACTTGGCTTCAGTTTACATCCTCATGGGTTTTAAAGAGTTTACTATAATTATCCACTCATATTCATATTTCTTATTATGTTTCTTCTCATGAATTCTACATGTCTGGAGGATTTATTGGTTGCAGCAGTTACACATTTTTATTTTATCTGTTTTTATTACTATTAGGATTATTATTAAATGTTTTCAAGCTGAAGTGTTGCTGGTAGGAAGGAAACATTCATCTCATCAACTTTGTAGAGTGCATTTATAATATTTAATGTTTCTGTATGATGTTTTTACTCTTGAAATAAAGAAGAGGTGTATTTTAAACGATGTCTTGCTGGTCGTATAATGTCAAATTTTGGCGTTTGTCTGCTGTTGTGTGTGAATGTGTGAGGGAACATCTAGTGAAAAATTTAAAAAAATGTGTTGAAACTAAAAGCGTCAGAGGCAATAGACTGGCTTGTTTGTTTGAGAGTGTCGCCCTCTAGTGGTGGCCTGGTGTTCATTCGATAAAATGACCTCTGGTTATGTAAATCAAGTGTATACACTACCAATGATATTTACCAAGTGACTCAGCTACACTACAACTAAGGCTACTCTTCTCAAATACCCTGCTCAGCGGCGCAGACGCTGTATAACCAGACACTACCTATAAGAGAGAATCAATTCTCTAAAATTAAAGGAATATATGAACTATTCTACATCTGCTCTTTTCAGAAAATATCCCACAGAACTACAGTGAGTCATTCTACAGCCACTTGACACAAATTATGGCAATAAACAAATGTAGTGACAAATATAACACCACAACTATTTCGTTAACATTTATACATTTATTATAACATGTTTTAGTTCCTTCACATTTTGATGCAGCACATTCAAAATAAGTCCTAAAGGCCACAAAGTGATCAAGCTTACCCTCTTTGTCTGATATGCAGAAAAGAACGCTGAGCTGAGGAAAACCCACTTGTTCATATACAAACATCAGGTGCAGCCGTTGGCCAGTAGAATCATTGACAAAAGCCACATTTGTAGTTTAGTTCTGTCCATACATTATAGCTGTTCAAACATAGCAAAACTAAGTAAAATATGATCTAGAAATCCTTTAATGCCATAAGTTAGAAGTGTACTACATGATTTTTCAGTCATAACTGTATTGTCCACGTTTGATTTGGTCAAAGCTGAACATGCATTTATACTGGTCATAGATGGGGATCTGGATGCAGCGTCTGTCAGTGTCGGTGTGTCACATCTACCACAAGAGACCCGCAATAAGTTCTGTACTTTTGCAAACTTTTGCATTTTAACCAAACCTAAGTAGTTTCAAGGTATTAGATCAGAGTTGAGTTGTCAAGCGTTTTGTCACGCTCGTTGGTCTCGATGAAGATGACCTGATCTTCTTGGTGAGGTTACTGTGGACGTCCTGCCCAGCCAGGAAGTAAAGGATGGGGTCCACACAGCTGTTGGCACTGGCCAAAGGTCGGGTCACTTTGTAGGCCACACTGGAGGCCTCCAGCAACTTACAGCTGATCTGGTGAACATTTAAAAACGTGATATACCGAGCTCTTAAAGACACATTTACTATGAACGTGTTTGTCCTCACCTGTGAAGGATCGACCTGCCTTAGGTATCTAAAAGAATAGTAAAGGCTCCTGGTGAGGTGGAAGGGCAGGAAACAGAGCATGAACGTTGCCAGCACAACGATGATCATCTTAACCGACTTCTGCTTGGATCGTTGGGCTGACACGCCCCCCCTCTCGCCCCCTTCGGACCCCCAGCCAGGCTCCAGAAGCTTCCCCACCATGAGGCCATCGCACACCATCACCACCATGAAGGGCAGGGCAAACATGAGCACTGACACGGCTGAGCTGTACACCAGGAAGTCGTCAAAGAGCTCCGGGCTAGTTGTGTCGTAGCAGATCCGCACACTCTCCAAATCCCTGAAAAGGAGATTGCAATTGGTTAGGATTATTAAAAGGTAGTGCTGCCTTGTTTGGCATTGAATCACAGGAAAAAGGAAAGAGTGGTCATTTAAGTGTGTCCCATTAAGCTAGGGTACTTGGTGTGCCACAAAAATCAATCTTGATCACTTAAACACTTCAGTACAATAGAAGTAATGAATATAGTAATGAAGGGAAAAGAAAGAGGGACAGACTAACATACAAGTTCACCTAGTTCTTGAGAAGTAGAGAATAGGGGCCTGGCAGAGTAAAACACAGGCCCACACCGCCACAGATACCAGCTTGGCCAGACGAGCGCTGACCCAGTAGAGGGAGCGGACCGGATAGCAGATGCCAACGAAGCGATGCAGACTGATACAGCACAGGAACAGAATTGAACCTGCCAGAGTGATAGATATTTAATATACTCTTTTCTTCTATTTGCATAATATTGCATTGTGTCATGGTATTATCATGCTGCCTTAACTGTAACATATCATACATCAAACTCTTTGTATGGGTCTCTGCCGTGCCATCACCCTACCATATAAGTTGGTGTAAAACAGGAAGCGTATGACCTTGCAGAACGGCTCACCGAAGGGCCAGTCGTTCTCATCTGCGTAGTAGTAGATGAGGAAGGGCAGAGTGAGGATGTACAGAGTGTCGCACATGGTCAGGTTGAACATGTAGATAGTGGAGGGCTTCCAGCTCTTAGTGCGGAACACAATCACATACAACGCTGTGGCGTTCAGCGCCAGGCCAATCACAAAGACCAGGGCATAGCTGACAGGGAGGAGAATATACTTAAAGTCTTCTTGAAAGCGACAGTAGAAGGCGCTGAAATTGGTTAGGCTGGTGATGTTGTTGTCAAAGCTGGCCATCTCGGTTGTGAAGACACCTGAGGAAAGGGAATAGGTTATGAATATGCTGCATTTGAACCTGGAAGCATTTCACTTTGAGATGTTATCATACACACAGAAATAGAGGGTGGGGAGGCACAGGAAACGAATATGACTCGAGAAAGTGACATCAGCCTATAGTTTACAATTTAGGATGCCCCAAGTCTTTCACTTTGGCATGCCACGCTCAAGCATAATTATTACAAGTTGTACTTGTTCCACCACCTTGCCCAAGGAGACATTTTGACACCTTGTCTCAGTAGATTACTTAAATACGTATCTGTCTTACCTTATTACCTCTCCTCTCTTCCCTAAATGAAAAACTCTTTTCACCACTTTCATCAGCATAATCATTTTACCAGTAGGGATATCCTGCTGCACAATCACAAATATGAATATTTGGTCCTTTGGGTCCCCACAGAAATATAGTTGGCCTGATTTTCAAACAACATGCATTTTTACCTCAAAACAGCATACAAAGAAAATCAAAGATTAAATGTGATTTCTCACATTTCAGGCAAATATGCAATGAGTGAATCAAAACAAATCATCTGTGCTGCTTTTTGTACTTTTAATTGAAGCACTTGATTGTTTTTACAGTAAAATGTCTTACCTTAGTAAGCCTAAAGAAATATAGAAGCTCCTCCAACGCCGAATCATAAGAGAAATCATAAACCAAAAGCATCCTCCCAGGATCCACACAAATACAGTATGAGCCAACAATGACTGTCAGCCATTTTTTTTCTGTGCCACTGACAGAAAGTTATGTGTGTGGGTGTTAATATGTGTTTGGTTTCTCTGACTGGGAGCGTGTGTTATGTGTGTTAGTTTGAGTGTTATACTGAGAGGAAAGGTGAGAAAGAGTACTTAATGTCTTACCTGCTCCAGAAATTCTTGTGTATTAATGATTGCACGGCCCTTAACCTTAACCTTGGTCATGGCACGTAGGAGGCATGAAATACAGTACTAGCCTAAATGAATGCTTCCAGAGAGCCATATCAGTTCCACTCGCTGTCTTTTTTTTGACATTTTTGCCAACCATATAACAATATTTTGTAGGTTGATATTATTGTATTATATTATTTATCCACAAACACACCTAACACACATACACATACATATTACATGCATGCAGACACTGTGCCAAACCAGCTGCTGCTGGTGCCAACTCTTTTCAAGGGATTCTATTGTGATCTATTCTTGTAATTGTTCACTGGGCATCCACTTACAATGAACCCCATGACCCCATTTTAACCTGTCTACTCCCCGGTATCCTGTAGTAAGTCAACACACAAGAGTAAATTATATTACAAAATAGACAACAGTAAATAACCTTTTGCAAATGTATTATATTTTATATATATTTGTTTATGTGACACCATATGCCTATGATAATTTCAGTTGAATTTGGACTACAGGCAGAAAATGATATCTATATAATTATTATTACTGACAAATCAAGCGTGTAATCTTTGGTCTTTTGTTTCTTCTTCATGTGTGTCTTTTGTATACTGTTGTTCATCCTACACCGCCATCGATTTTTCCACGATCGACTGCGGCTTCTTGTTGCTATGCAGGTCTGCGGGACGCAGGCTCACGTCAGTGTCGGTCTTTTCTCCTTGAGCAGCTCGGGAAACCCCTAATCCTCAATGGATAACGAGTATATATTTTATATTTATCACCTTCCTTGTCGCCGTTATTTGCTTTGAAACACCTCTGTATTAATCGAGGTTACTTTCGACGGCAGGCGAGAGGACGCAGAATAAAGAAAAGGATGTGTTTCTGTTTCCAGTGTTTTCATCACAGCAATGCCGCGCTTCGCCACACGGGGGAGCCGTTGAGCTTAAATGCTTAAAGGGGTTCCTTGTTAATACCCCCCCCTTCCCTTCCCCTCTGCTTTCTTCTTCTCCGCCTGTCTGCCCTCCTGCTTCTCTCCACACAGTACAGTACACACTAGTCCTCTAGTAGTGGCAGCAGCCAACACAAGTGTGTTCAAACCTCTCCTCGTAGCTTCAGTCTCTGTACAAACGAGCCATTTATCATCAATCATGGCCGCCGGAGTACAAATTTAACTCCCGTTTCCCCCCCCCTGTCCGTCTGAAGGGGAGGATTTTTTTTGTTGTTGGAGGAGACAAAATTATTAGTCCCACACACTGATTTTTTTGATTTTCCTCTCTGGAATTACAATACTTCTCGCAAGGGAAATACCATTCATGTCAATACTCCAAAATGCAGCCGCCGCCGAGGAAGGTGAGTGATTTCCCAGAGTCCGTTATGTTTGTAGGCACAGATAATGACAGACAACTGTGCAGTAGATGTGTCTTTAATAAACATACACAACGCGTCCGACGCTGCAGGCATATAAGACAATTAAAGGGGGAGAAAGATATTCGCTAGCCCACATTAGCAACGTTTGCTAGCTCGGTTAGTCAGTAACCTATTAACATGAATATGAATCTATAACGTTGTGAGCCGTCAAACGTCAAAATAACGTTAGCTAGAAAACGCTAGGTGTGCTAACGTGAAACATACAAAGCACCTCACCACGTCAGTACGATAATATGATATTGTTGCAGTCCTATTCATGAGCTTACGTCATTTAGTAAAATATAACTTTAAATAATAAAACGTGTACATTAGCATTTGCACGTTAACTTATGGCAGCAGCGTTTTAGCAAACTAGCGTTCGTGTGTGTGTTAATGTAGCACCGGTTTTATTTTGACTCATTTGCATAACAAAAGCTTTCGTTTCTCCACGTTGTGATGCTTTTTGTCTTTAGGGAAGACCTTCAGTCCGTCCAGGGTCACATCTTCTTTTCTCTTTTTTTTCCCATCAAAGGTTGAGCTGACAAAAGCTAAAAACACACATGCTGGCAGAGCCATGTCTCATACTGACTTATTGATTCTGTATGGGCTGGGAAAAGACCACAGTCCCCATATAGTTGTTTGGCACTGATGTGTGTGTGAGGATGTGTTTAAGTTGCTTGTGCATTGCTTGCTATGAGTGTATGTGTTGTCCTGAAATAGATGCATAAGAGCCAATTACCCATGCTGTGAACCTCTGCACAGTTTTCTCTTAATTACCACATATTCCCCCAGTGCCAGTTATGCTGTGTGGGTTTTCTACACACACAGACTAGCCCTGAACATGTCATATCATGTCTGTAAAACACAAACACACACACACCTTTCATAAGTGAGGCTGCAGAGACCCCTATAGTGTGTCCCACTGTGTGTGTGTGTGTGTGTTGCTGCACCACTCCAGTCCATATTCATTTTGTGAGATCTCATTCGTCAGCTGTCAGCCTTCCCTATTTAGCTTACTGTAAAAAATACTTCCAAGCATAAAAAATAATTTGCAAAACACTGATGTGTTACTACCCCCGTGCAGTTGAAGCTGGCACACTCAAAACACTCCACAGCCAGAGTGTATCAGTATTTAGCTGTTGGATACTAATAATTTCTGTCCCAGTGAGACACAGACATCCCCTTTAGTGTTTTGTCTGTGTCTCAGCACATCTGCTTCCAGATTGATCTGGTTTGACTCGCATATATTAGTTTTTATGTGCTTTAAATTAAAGATGACTTCTAAAGAGGCTGAAAATAAGTGATACATTTCTCCACACATTTATCTTGCTATCTATCTATATACTCATCCATCCATCCATCATATATGAATAGTGACAAATACAGGGGTTAGAGCTTTTGACGCCATATTTTTTTCAAGATCAGCCAACAGTCCAGTACTTTTTAACTGGTCACAGTGGAATTCAACCGGACAAAACTTATCCATCATGAGAAATACATACAGTACAATGCAAATCTGTTCATTCATCTTGATATATAGATTTAACATCGTATCGACCAACCCGAGCTACTGTTTGGTTACCTGCTCACACAGGTGGGGACGTCTGCGTCAGAATCACTGTCAGATACGTGTGTTGATGTTTGCGTTACTAAACAGGAACCACTTGTCTGCGGTGCAGAGAGACCTGCATCATCCGCCACTACACCAGCTCAGTTCTTTCCCTTTAACATGACCTTCAATATTCTGGATATGTCTTCCTCCTTGCCTCATAATTAACATCACATATCCCGTCTCTTTCTCACTGTCATTTTCCCCTTCCGCTTCTCACCGGCCGACTCTCTTTCTCGCCATCTTTGTCTTTTTTTCTTACTCTCACTTCGTACTCTTCTTCTCTTCTGATTCACAAGCACCCCCTTCAGCCACTCTTCCTCTCATTTTGTCTCCCCCACCTCTGTCCTCACCCTTTGCCCTTCCCCTTCTCCCTCCCTCTCTCTCTCTCTCTCTCTCTCTCTCCCCCTGTGGGTTCTCTATGAATGATGGAAGGTGAAATCAAGTGAAGTCATTTTGCCCTGATAATGTAATGAGCCACTCCCTGCTTATCTTCAAAGACAGGGCACATGAAAGAAAGGAGCTCTGCAGTGTGTGTGTGTGTGTGTGTGTGTGTGTGTGTGTGCGTGTTGTTGATTGTTTTGCGTAGAACAGTCATGAATTTGCCCGCTGTTACTCCGGTGAATAGTTGGTGGAATTCACCAGACAATACACAATGACCAGCACAGTGTGTGTGTGTGTGTTGGCAGGAGTGTGTGTGTTTTGTGTGCATATTAAGGGGGGAGCTCTCTCAAAAGCTCCCGCTCTGACCACCAAAGTGAATTTTTGTATATGGCAATACAATGAGCATCTTTTCCTAATATAAAGGAGTCTGTCTGCTCCTAAATGCTGTTTTTAGGCCGTTAAAAGTGTCCTCAGTCACCCATAACTCCTCCATCCTCCTCCAAAAGTCTGACAAAACCTGGACACGGATTGTTACGTTGATGGATTACTTTTTTGTGATAACATTTTTATTGGCCCCCCCCAAAAAAAACATGCTGGCACTGCTTTGGAGTCATAAAAATATCCCAGCGCTTAGCTACTAGCTAGCTATCTTAATGTTGTAAACATGGAACTGTCCGTAGCTACTAGAATGCAAGCTGCTAAAGAAAGAACTAACTTATCCTGGACTAGAGTCTGCAGTAAAATCCAAGAAGTTATGTAATTGTATTCTATCATAACACATTCCCTAGTGTATTATTTTGAGATGTATATGGGGGGAGGGGGGGGGTGTATGAGTAGGGTGTGTGTATGAGCGTAGATGTATTTATTTACGTTGATGGATTACTCAATATAGAGAACATGATTGGCAGGTTGGTTGATTGATTGATTGATGGGGTTACATTGTTTATGTGTGTCTGTGCATGTTCATGTAGGCCACTGTGACTCATAGGCCAGCTTTGATTCTAACATATATATTGTTATATTGGTAATATTGTAAATAGAGCTGAAGCTATGTGATCAACAGACAATTATTTGGCAACAGTTTGGATCATCGATTAACTGCTGAGTCAGTTATTCAGGCATCTGTTAGTTGCAGTCCTACTGGATTATGTTGCTGTTTTTGTCACACACTTTTTGTGATTTCATGCAACATTTAATCCAAAGTAGGGGTGGGTGATACGGCCACTGAGAGGGAAAAAACGTCACGATAAATTATGAATGTGTATATGGCTGTCAGGCAGGTAGAGGCATTGACGGTTCACTGAACCCTTTCACGACCAGGAAAAGACAAGACTCTAGCGCTGCTAGAACAACCGAAGTCTCAGATGATATAATGAATTACATGAAGATCCTTTACTGGAAACTGTCTTTTTTTGTTTCCTCCAGGTCAAAGTGACACAGGAGCTGAAAAACACACACACAGAGCAGATGACGAGACTGCACTTTAAACACCAGAGCGAATGCGACCTGCTGGAAGACATGAGGTATGAACGCGTCTCACCCGCTGCCAGAGGATCTCAAATCTAGTCGCTGTGCGACTAGATTTGAGATGGACACAGCCATGTACAGAAAGAAGGAAACGACTAAGGAGTGAGGGAGGAGTGGAATGAGAAAGGAAAAGAGGAGTGTTGTCGTATTCTAGTTTTCGGAGAAGGACAAAGGGTCGGGAAAATGACGAAGGAATTTCCTGCTGCTTTCTTCCTGCTCTCTGACTTTCTTATTTTCCAAATTTCATTTTGTCAATTTCTTTTCTGTCTACTTGTCATTGGGTTTTTTTCTGTCTCTTTTGCTCTGACTATCCTTTTTTTTGTCTGACTCCATATCTCTCGTTTTCATTTTTTGGGGCTCAGCTCTGTTTACTCATGACGTGTGTGATTCTGGCAATTTTCCCTTTTTGGATTCTGCAATGGGAGGAAACCCTGGTTCTTTCACACGCTCTCATTTTCTGTGTTGACTAAGCATTGATTATTTATGACAGCAAACTCTCTGCTTCTCTGCTTCCATCCCTCTCTCTCTCTCTCTCTCTCTCTCTCTCTCTCTCTCTCTCTCTCTCTGTATCTCTGTATCTCATTTTCACACTTCCTCTACCTTCTCTCTCTCTCCGAGACTTCCCTCTCTTTCTCTGCCTTTCACTCTTGGGGGGCAGCTCCAGCTGTTCGACAACAGATTGCCTTGTTGCTGTTCGGTTTTTGGAGAGTGAACAAGGCCCCGGTCTCACTTGTGGGAGAGTGGGAGAGCCAGTTAGGCATATGCAAACCACGATGTGTTAGTTCTTCCAGTCGCTCAGGGATCGAGCTACACCTGCCACTGGGTGCAGATCTTCAAATCGGCTTCGTCATCCTCATGGTCGAACGGCGCTGCGTTCCTCCAGCCTGTTATGTTTTGTAATTATTTCTGATGACACATTCTGCTGGTGGTAAAATCAGGAGCAGCAGGGTGGTGCAGTGATCGGGGAGACCGCCTTTACATTGGACCTGTAGCAACAAGCATCTGCTTCGTCAATGTGTCCCCGAGCCACGGAGGCCCCGCTAGTTTCTCTGGCTGTGATGTGACACTCCTCTGACTTTTATTTATGTTTTCGTGAAATATCCGATCTGTTAGGGTTATCCGAGATTCAAATCGGTGGCAAGATGGCCGTTCAATATGCTCTGACTTTGACGACCGTCGCTGTTGTCGGAACCAGCTGTTTTTTTTTTTGCGCGATACCTGAGGTACGAAAAGGCAGCAGCTGGCCAAACTGTCAACTGTCTTCACCAATACCACTCAAATGATAAAAATAGTTCACATTTAGACAAAAAAAGAGTGCACAGGAAGAAGATGCACCCTGTGTTTATTTATATCTTTCTATTGTCACTGAATGATCTGTAAATACGTTATGTGACATAGTTAAAAAGATGTATGGCTGAAATGATCAGTTGATTAATCGATCGACGAAAAATGTATTTCTACAATTTTTGCCAAAGGTTCCAGCTTCTGCAATGTTTTCAGCTTCATTGTAAAACAAATATCTTTGGGTTTTGGACTGTTGGTCGTACAAAAGAAGACATTACATTACAAAATTTACAACAAATGAACACATTTATAAATATTGAGAATAATGGTGAGTTGCAGCCCTCCATAGACAATGTAGTTAATAATGCAGCGGTGATTTCCACAGGGAGAAACAGTTATTGACCCGTCCCCTATCCAGGGTCAGAATGCAGAGTTGATAACCGCAATGATTCCTGCAAACAGTCAGAGAAGTGACGACAGTAGGAATGTAGCCAGTTAGCTAACACCGGGCCGTTCACAGCAATGCCGATTGCTGGATATTGTCCTTAGAAAAATACACTTTTTGATGCATCTGGATCTGGATCTGAAACTATGCCTCTGACATAGTTTATGTCGATCACTTTGCTAGACTTTTGCCACGGTTGCTGGTATCGTGGCGATCAAATAACCTCTTCAATAACTGGACCCTACACTACACAAGGAACGCGTGCTCACACACTAAAACACATAATCGGTGGACGGACACACATTTTGCTGCCTAAAGCCTGCAGTAGATTTTAACTGTTAAATCCCCAAATCTGCTCTGAGGTTATTTAGCCTAATTAATCCACAGGCTAGCTTTAATCAACAGCCACACAAAAACACACACACA